GGTTAGTGGAGCCCCCCCGGCTGCTCCCCCTCCCTTGCCCCACCCCCTGGCTCTCCCCACCCCCGTGAGGTGAGGGGGGGTCTCCTGTGCCCCCACCCCACCCCAGCAGCACTCACTGCGCACACTGGGAGCCCCCCGACTCCCCACACACTGGGAGCCCCCTGGCTCCCCCACTGCTGGGCTGGGGGTGGTCCCGGTGAGGCCACTGGGGGGGGCACAGCCCCCCTGCCCCACCACAACACCCCCGAGAGGGTTCAGTCCAGACTCGTGTCCAGGCCCCCCCAAAGGGACTTGATACACTCCTCCCCGGCCGCGCCCCCGTGTTTGTGTGACCCCCCCTCCTGTCTGAAGCCCCCGGGAGCCAGAGCTGGGACCCCCCCCAGCCCCCTCACAGCTCTCGGGCACTTCTGTACAAAACAAGGACAAAATGCAAAATAAATGTTTTTATTAACAAACCCGGAACCTTCCCCCTCTCTCCCTCCCTCTGCAGGACGTGGGGAGGGGGGGTCAGGGGACGGTGCCCCCTCCCCACCTGGGGGTGCTCCAGGGTCAGTGGGGTGGCCCTTGGCCCCTCAGTGGTGGCAGCAGGAACTGGCCTGGTTTGGGTCTGGGGGGTCCCAGCTGCAGCCCCCGCTCCAGCTCCCCCCTCCCCTGTTGAAAGAGGACCAGGAGGCTGCTCACCCTTGGAAAATGCTCTTTATTGGCCTGTAAAAGCCCTTCCTTGGGCAGCACGGCCAGGGCGGCCTCGGGGGGCTCAGGGAGCCCCTCACCCCCCCGGGTGGGCTCTGTGGGGGGGGGAGCAGGAGGCTTCCCTGTCCTCCCACCGCAGGTGAGGAACGGTGAGCGGGGCCGGGGGGGCCGCGGTGGGGGCGATCCTGGGACCGTCCCGGTCCCAGCAGCGGGTGCTGGGGGTGGGGGTGGTGGGGGGTGGCAGCTCGAGCCGCCCCCTCCCCGCCCTGTGCGTGTGGCTTGTGCAAACTGTGCGACGTCGGGGGTCCCTCGGCCGTGAGCCGGGGGCTCAGGGGGCTCCTCCCTGCGCCGGCTCCTTCCCTTTTTTCCTGGGAGAGCTGGGAAGGAAATGGGGGGTCCTGGCGGCTCCGTGTGGGATCCGGCCGGGCCCCCCCACCCAGCAAACCCTTCCGGCCCAGGCACTGGGAGCTGTCCCCGCCGGGACCCTCCTGCCTGGCCGAGGAGTTAAAAGAACAAAAAAAAAAAGGGTTAAAAAAAAACAAACCAACAAACCAAAAACAACGCCCAAGAACTAAAAACAAAACTTAAACCCCAAATCAGCTACAAAACCAGGGAGAGTCCAGCGCCAGGATGCAGCTCCTGGGGCCAGGGAGCTCACGGCAGCCCCCCCAGGCCGGGGGACGTTGAGGCAACGGCAGCAGAGACGCACTTGAATAAATATTTGGGGGGTGGGCACGGGGCAGGCACAGCCCGGCACAGTCCGGGGGGCCCGGCCCGGCCGCCCTCACGTCTGGTGGACCTCGTGGAACATGAGCTCCCGGGGGATGCGCGTCTCGGGCCCGAAGGTCTTGGCCGCGCGGCGCTCGAAGGCGGCCACCATCTGCTTGACCACCTCGTCGAAGAACATGGTGGCCAGCTGGGAGTGCAGCAGGGAGCGGAACTCGAAGGAGATCTGGGGAGGAGAGCAGGTGAGCCCCGAGGGAACGTCTGCCCCGCCCTCCCCTGGGGGCCCCGGGGTGGGGTCTCACCGAGAAGTCCACGGTGCTGGTGCGGGGGTAGCCGGGGATGCCGGGGCTGAAGCGCCAGTTGGTCTCCAGGTGGTTGAAGAGGCGCCCGTCGGTGCAGACGGCCTGGGGAGGGGGAAGCACAGGCACTGGGATCAGGGAATCACAGAGTCCAAGCAGTGCCTGATCCCCATCCTGTCCCCCAGCCCAGAGCACTGAGTGCCACGGCCAGTCCTTCCCTGGACACCTCCAGGGGTGGGCACTCCAAACCTCCCTGGGCAGCCCCTGCCAAGGTCTGAGCACCCTTTCCATGAAGAATTTCCTCCTCATGTCCAACCTGACCTTCCCCTGGCACAACTTGAGGCTGTTCCTCTCCTCCTGTCCCTGTTCCCTGGGAGCAGAGCCTGACCCCCCCGGCTCCCCCTCCTGTCAGGGATTGCAGAGCCAGAAGGTCCCCCCTGAGCCTCCTTTTCTCCAGGCTGAGCCCCCCCAGCTCCCTCAGCTCTGCAGCCCCTTTCCCAGCTCTGGACACGCTCCAGCCCCTCAGTCTCTCCTGTCGAGGGCCCAGAACAGGGCCCAGCCCTGGAGGGGCCTCAGCAGCGCAGAAGAGGCGCCCAAAGGACGTGTGGTGCCCTCACCTTGACGAGGTGTGGCCGCACCAGGGTGACGATGGACGTGTAGCGCTCCAGCACGGGCGGGAACCCCACCTCGAGCTGGGCCTTGACGTGCCCCGAGCGCCGCGACACCACCACCGACTTCTTGCACCAGGGCACGAAGTTCTTGTAGTCCTCCACGTTGGCCACCACGTCGTACATCTCCTGCATCGAGTACCTGGGGGCACAAAGGGTGTTGGGGCCGGCGGGGGGGCCGTGCCCGGGGCCCCCCCGGGACCCCCCCACGTACCCGATGATGCGGCGCTCCGAGTACTCCTTGCGCTTGTTGGTGAGGCTCAGGAAGGTCCTGCTGGGCGGGCAACGCGGCTCCCAGGGCGGGGGGCCCGGCCTGGCCAGGCGGGAGAGCCGGAGGCCGCACAGGGCGGCGTGTCTGGGGGACAGGGGGTGCTGGGACGGGGCCAGGGGAGCAGCCCCGCAGTGCTGGGGCCCTTCCCAGGCCCCTTCCACACCTTCCCAGGCCCCTTCCCGACCAGTCTGGGCCCTCCGGGATGGGAATCACCCCTGGGGGGTTCAGTCCCAGTGCCAACTCTTAGCAGGAGGAGGAGGAGGAGGAAGGCCAGGAAACCCGAGCTCAGGGACACCTAATCCCGGGTTTGGAGCAGGGACAAGTGGCTGGTGCCCTCCCCAGTGTCCCCCCCGGGGATTCTCCTCCTCCTCTGGCCCGGTCTCATCCCTTGGGGGTCGTCCCGGGGGGGCAGCAAGGAGAGGCAGAGCCCGCTGGAGAAGATCCCCCTTGTCCCCTGTCCCATCACTGCGGGGAGGGGGCTCCACCCCGCTGGTGTCCCCCGGCCCTGCTGCCCCGGGGGTCCCCGAGGAGGTCGGTCCGGCCCCCCCAGCCCTGCCGGCGCTGCCACACCGAGCCCCGGGCAGGGAGGCACCGGCCCAGCGTGTCCCCCTCCGTGTCCCCGTGCAGAGGTCACCGTCCGCCCCCGGGGGCCGCGGGGCTGTCCCCGCGCTGGCGGGACCGCGATGCCGCTCCCGACCCCCCAGGTCAGCGGTACCGGCCCGGTGCCCGCGTCTCCCGCCCAGGAGGGGCCTCTGACCGGCACCGGGGGCGGCGGCGCCGCGGGACCCCCGGGACCCCCCGTGTCCCCACCGTGCCCCCCGTGCCCCTCGCCTCGCGGGCCCCGGGAGTGCCGGCAAGCCCCGAAGAGACCCCGCAGCACGATCGTTCCCCCCGGGCCCCGCCTCGGTTCCCCCGGGGCCGGTGTGACCTCCGGGCCCCGCCTGCGCCGCCGCCGCCGCCGCTCACCTGCAGGGCGGGGCCGCCCCGGCCCGCAGGCGCTGCCGCGCCCCGAGCTGGAGGGCGCCGCGGAGCCGCCGGGCCGCCATCAGCGGGCCGGGACCGGGACCGGGACCGGGACCGGGCCGGGCCGGGGCCGCCGCCGTGACCTCTCACCCCGTGACGTCACCGCGTCGCCATAGCGCCAGGTACGTCACGGGGCTACGCCCCCCGCGGGACACCACGGGAGTTGTGGTCGCGGCCGCGCGAAGGGCGATGGGAGGTGTAGTCCCGGGTGGGACCCCCCGGGGCCTGAGGCCCGAACGCCCCCCCGGCAGCCCCGGGTGGAGCGGACACAGCGGGTCCCGGCGGGCCCCTGGCCCCGCCACGCACGTGTGTCCCCGGTGGGTCCGGAGAGGGGCGGGGAGCCCCCGGTGCCGTGTCCCGGTAACGGTCCCGCTCCCAGCTGAGCGCAGGAGCCCACAGAGCAGGAACTCCCGGTGGCTGCGGGAAATGGGTGATCCAGCTCAGCCCAGCGCCTCCCAGTTCAGCCTGGCACAGCCCAGTACGGCCCAGCACTGCGAGGGACACCACCAGTTCCTTGACTGAACACAATTCCCGAGCAGGGAATGCTGTCCCGGCACCGCTCGGGGCTGGAAGGGAACCAGGAGCTGTGGCCGGGCCATTGTCACCTGTGCTGCCCCGGAGCAGCTGTGGGGTGGCAGTGGGGACATGGGTGGTGGGTGAAGGGCTGTGAGCGTGCAGGGCTGCCCCATCCCCACCCTGTCCCTGTCCCCAATAGAGCTGTCCCAGCAGTCCCGAGCAGGGCATGGGGGTCACAGTGGCCAAGAGAAGGGATAATGCCAGCACCCCATTGATGCTCCGGGACCACCGACAGGCACCCGGGGATGGGGGCCCGGCTGGACCGACCCCAGAGTGTGATGGAGGGGCCACAGGGGTGACCCCCGGGACCCTCTACCATCATCCTCCTGCTCGGAGGGCTGGGTCTGGACTGGGGGAGCCACACTGGCCTGGAGGGAGCCACTGCCTGGGGACCACCGGTCCCACCGTGAGTCCCCCGCGCACACGGATCCCACCGGGCAGACCCCGCACAGCGGGACGGGGGCGGCACATGGGGGACCCCCGGGACCCTCACCCGGTGCGGAGGCCGCGGGCTGGGTTTGCACCGGGGGAGCCGCTGCCCGGGGACCCCCAGCACCCCCACCTGGGACGGGGTCCCCCCGGGCAGAGCGGAACGGCGGTGGCACATGGGGGATCCCCGAGACCCTCACCCACCGCCCCCCGGCACGAAGCGGTTGCCCCGGGCCCCCCGGGCCCCTCGTCCCGCCCGCTGCCCCCGTTCCCCCGGCGGTGGGCGGTCCGTCCCCGCGGCCCGGCCCCGCCGCTCCCCCCGCCTCGCAGCCGCCGCGCCGGAGCCGCCGCGGCCGGACCCGATGCCGGGAGCTGGGCGCTGAGGGCGGCCCCGACATGGGGGTTCTCAGCATCACGGACCAGGTGAGCCCTCCCTGCCCTCCCGCCTCGCCTCGTCCGCCCCGCCGCGCTCGGGCCGCGCCGCCGCCGCAGCCCGGGGATGCGCGGCCTAGGCCGGCTCCGCCACCGGGCCCGGCCCGGCCGCCGCCCCAAGGCCGCGGGTCCCGCTCCGCCGGCTCCCCCGGGCCGGCCCCGGCCCCGGCACGGCCGGGGGTCGCGGCCCGCCCCGCTCCGCCCGCCGGGCCCAGCGCGGCCGGGACCCCCGGGACGGGACCCTCGGGATCGACCCCTCGGCCCGCGGAGCCGCGAGGGAGCCCCCCCGGCTGGGGGATGGGGGAAAGCCGGGGATGGGACCCCCGGGACCCCCGGGAGGGAGCCGCGGCCTCGCTGCCGCCCCGCCGGGGTGTCTGGGATGCTCCCGGGGTGCGGGATGTCCCCCGCCGGGTTTGGGGACGCGCTGTGGGTGCGCAGTGGCCCCAGAGAGCTTTTGGGGGGCACCTCCGGGTTGCGGGTTGTCCCCGTCGGGTTTTGGGTCGCCCCTTGGGGCGCTGGGTTGTCGCCGTGGGGTTTTGGGGACACCTGTGGGGTGCGGCGTGTCCTCGTCGGGTTTTGGAGAGGCTCCTGGCGTGTAGGGAATCCCCGGTGGGTTTTGGGATAGCCTTGGAATGCAGAGGGTCTCCATCACGGTTTTGGGGACGATCCTGGGGTCCCTGCTGAGTTTTAGGGACACCCCTAGGGTGCAGCACGGGCCCATCAGGTTTGGGGGTGGCCCTGGCTTGTGGGGAGTCCCCAGTAGCTTTTTGGGAGACTCTTGGTTGCAGGGTGTCCCCAGCATGGTTTTGGGGATGTGCAGGGTGTGCCCATAAGGCCTGGGGGATGCCTCTGAGCTGCAGAGTGTCTCTGTCATGTTTTGGGGGCACCCCTAGCATGCAGGGCATTCCCATCGGGTTTTGGGGGCACCCCTGGTGTACAGAGTGTCCCTGTAGTGTTTTAGGGATGATTCTGGGGTTCAGGGCATCCCCGTCAGTTTTGGGGACACATCTGGGGTGCAGGGTCACCCTGCCTGGCTGGTGGCTGCTCCCTGGGCCGCTCTGTTGTGCCCCGTTACCGGAGCTGTGACCCCGGAGTGACCTGGGCTCGGAGCCCCTCTCTTCCCACTCTTTGGAAGCCTGGGGAGTGGGCTGGGGATTAGGGCATGAAGGAGGAGGGGGCTGACCCAAGGCCTGGGTTTCTGATTTAAACAGAACTTTATTTTTCGGGATAACCCAAACATTCCTCTCTCCCGAGGTGGGTGGGTGTGTCAGACCCAGCGCCGCCGCCGGAGACGCTGCTTTTCCAGCCTTTCCTTGATTTTTTTTTTTTTTTGGTAAAAAAACCCCTTTTTTACTGTCTAACAAGTGATGCCGAGGCTGCTGCATTCCAGGGGGATGACGCAGGCGCTGCCCTGGCCCAGGATGTGTTCCCCTGGTTTGAGTGCCCTTATTTTGGGATGAGGCAGGGATGGGAAGGGGTCACTTCCAGATGGAGCTCGGTGTCTGCTGGAGAGGCCAAGAAAAGTGGGGCTCGATGGTTTGCATGTTAAATCCACGCTTTGGGGGGTGGGCAGAGCTGGGGGGCTGCCAGGGGTCACAGCACCCAGAACCCTCCAACCCAGAAGGGTTTCTGGATGTACCCAAATTTTGGGTGGTAGGAGTTGGATGTGTTTCTGTGCTTGGGTGCTGCGTGTGGGGAGCTTGGCTCTGTGTGGTCAGCGCTGCTCCTTGGACTCCTTGGGAAGCAGGGAGGCTTTTCCAACGATTCCTTGCTCTGTTTATCGATGAACAACCAAGAGAAGTGTCTTTGCTGGCTGGAAAACTGGTCCCTGGTGCTGGCTGGGCCACTGGGGTGAGGAATGGGACTCGCTCCTGGCACTGGGTCACGCTCTGGCACATGGAAACACTGCAGGTTCTCCTCCCTCTCACATCTCCTGTGTGGTGCCACCACCACAACTCGTTTCCCCTCTCCTTTGCAGCCTCCTCTGGTCCAAGCCATCTTCAACCGGGATGTGGAGGAGGTTCGGTCGCTGCTGAATCAGAAGGAGAACATCAATGTACTGGTGAGAGCTCGTGCTCCATCCCTCACCTGGCGCTCCCAAAATCCCTCGCCCAGCTCTCCCCAAATCCTTCCCGTCCCCCACCTGGCACTCCTTGTTTCACAGAATCCCAGAGTCCTTGGATTGGGGTTGGAAAAGCCCTCCAGGACCACTGAGTCCACCCTGTGCCCAATGCCCACCTTGTCCCCTCTCCCAGAGCACTGAGTGCCATGTCCGGTCCTCCCTTGGACACCTCCAGGGGTGGGGACTCCACCACCTCCCTGGGCAGCCCCTGCCAATGTCTGAGCACCCTTTCCATGAGGAAATTCCTCCTGATGTCCAACCTGACCTCCCCTGGCACAGCTTGGGGCCGTTCCCTCTCCTCCTGTCCCTTGTTCCCTGGGAGCAGAACCCTGACCCCCCCCAGCTCCCCCCTCCTGTCAGGGACTTGCAGAGCCAGAAGGTCCCCCCTGAGCCTCCTTTTCTCCAGGCTGAGCCCCCCAGCTCCCTCAGCTCTCCAACCCCTTCTCCTGGTGCTCCAACCCCTTCCCCAGCTCCGTTCCCAGCTCTGGACACGCTCCAGCCTCTCCCAGCACAGTGTTGGTGTACGGGAGGCATCAGGGCAGAAGGAGGAGGAGAAGGAGGAGGATGTCCCAGCGCTCGCCCCGCCCTCCAAGCTCACGGATGGTTCTTGTTTCTTCCCCCAAGGACCAAGAACGCCGAACGCCGCTCCATGCTGCTGCCTACATAGGAGATGTTGCAATCCTCGAGCTCCTAATCCTGTCAGGTGAGGGCTGGGGCTGGGAGCAGGCTTGGATCTGGCACAGGCACTGCCTCAGAGACACCCCTGACCCCCTCTGGCCTCAGGGGTGCAGCAAGACGGGGTTTGGTCACCCTCCAACCGTGTGCTCGCACTTAATCCAGCAGGGTTGCAGCCAGGGGAAGATTAGGGAATGTTGCCATAATCCTAAGAGGTTTGTTCAGGCGAGAAGTGTCTTGGAACTGAAATAGCCGAGGTGGAAATGGAGCCAGGAGAGGGGGGTGTGGCATTGGAGGTGGTGCTGGAGGAGGGGGATGTGCAGCTTGGACAGCAGGGTGCTCAGAGCAGCAGTTCCACTTGCCCCCAGAGAGAATAAGCCAAAATCCGGGGGATTTTTCTCAGTTTTGGGTTGTGTCGCTTGCCATGAAGCTGCTCTTCGCTTCCTTCTGGACACACTCAGTGTTTGGGTCCTGTGTGTTGAGTCTCCTTCTGCTCCTCACCATGTGGAGCCCTGGGACACTTTGGAGCGAGGGCACCCCGAGGCTGCCGTGATCCTGTGTGACCCCAGCAGGGAGAGACTCAGGCAGATTCTCTGCCAAGGGCTCGTTAAACAGGATCTGGGATGTTCGTTAAACAGGATCTGGGATGTTCAGCTCCATCTGCGCAGCTCAGGATGCCCTTACCTGCCCCGTGTGGACTTCTGCCTGCCTGTGTGTGGAGTTCTGGGCAGCAGAGAGAGGCAGAGGAGGGGCTGCAGGGGCGGTGGGCCCTCTCTGACCCCTCTTTTGTGTCCCCCAGGTGCTAATGTGAACGCGAAGGACACGGTTTGGCTCACCCCGTTACACCGCGCCGCGGCCTCTCGGCACGAGGTGGGTGCCCTGGGAAGGGGCCTCTGGCTCTGTCTGCTCCCTGTAGGAGGAGTGGCTGTGCTTCTCCTCCTCCTTCCCACCCTGCCTGGTTTGGGCTGAGACAGGGGGTCTCATCAGAGCAGAAGGGGGCTGAATGCAAAGTTCAGAGGCTGCAAGTGGGAGCTGGAACAAAAACCTCCTTGGTTCCCTTCCCTCCATCCTGCAGGAGTCAACCCGTGGGTTTTCCCCACGTCCTCCTCCCTGCCTTCAGCCCTTCCCCAGGGCTTTGTCTGTTCCAGCCTTACATTCCTTTGAGGGATGTCGGGGCTCTCACCGTGTCTCTCAGGAGCTGATTCCAACAGATCCTATTAGAAAGTTTTCCTGGTGTTTATCTTTTGTGGGTTTAACTTCATCCCACTTAACTTTGCCCTTGTTTGAGTTGTTGGAGAGCGAGGAACTGTTGGTTGGAGCCAGGAGATCCAAAGCCCTGAGTGATGGGCGGGGCAAGTTACCCACCCTGGGATTCTGGTCTGCAGGAGACACGGGATGGAACAGGAGTGTAAACCTCCAGAAGGTGTTTGTTGGGAATGTGTGTGGGCAGTCCCTGTGGGTTCCTAAAACGTGGAGCTCATGCTGCTTGTCTGGGAATTTGGGAATCTGGGCACACTCATTGCTCCTCTGCCTGGGAAGTGCTGGAGCGTCTCCTCCCTTGTTCTGTTCCTCCCCAGGTGCTTGGCACAGGGCTCTGCCAGCGCTGGCATGCCCGGCTCCCGAGAGGAGCCTTCCCAAAATGCTTTCCCTGCCTGGAGCGTGCTCTCCAGGGTTGCTGGGTTGGTCCATGTGCCGTTCCAGTGCTGGGAGCAAAGAGCAGGGCAGCGATCCGTGGGGCTGGGATCGCTGCAGGAGCTGCCCCCATGCCGTGGGGAGGCGAAACCGAAAATGAGGGGCTGCAGCCAAGAGCCTGCTCAGCAACACGGGGAAATAAGTGTGACATGTAGGTCAGTGGGTCACGTCTGTCATCCCTGGGGCGTTTCGCCCCTGGTGAGTCACAGGTGAACATTCACCCCCGTTAATCACGTGGCTCAGGGGTTTTCTGTGGTGTCCCTGTGAGCCACATTTCACAGCTGGGCTCAGGGGCATGAGCCTGGCTTGTTCAGGTCACACCTGGAACTCCACTTGTGAGCAGCTGGAGCAGCCCAGGTGAGGGCTGGAGGATTCTCAGAATCCCAGAATCCTTGAGATGGGATTTAGCTCTGCCTTTACCTCTATGTGATAACATGCTGAAACAACCATATGTGGCTTCGGGATGTCCCTGGGGACATGGGAGCAAACAGATCCTTTCCTCTGAAGTATGGGGAGAAGCCACCACACTGGGGCACGTGGAGCAGTCACGGCTCAGCTGGCCCTGGCTCTGGGGCTGGTGTGGCTCTGGAAGGACGAGGAGGACCTGGGGGCCAAGCAGGGCTCCGGGTTAGAGCCCCCCTCTCTCCTCTGCCCCTGCAGAAGGCACTTCACCTCCTCCTGAAGCACTCTGCGGACGTCAATGCCCGCGACAAGCACTGGCAGACGCCGCTGCACGTGGCCGCGGCCAACCGGGCCACCAAGTGCGTGGAGGCCCTGGTGCCCCTGCTCAGCACCGTCAACGTGGCCGACCGCACGGGCCGCACGGCGCTGCACCACGCCGTGCACAGCGGCCACCTCGAGGTAGGCGGGGGGTCCCGGCCCGCGCCCCCCTCCCTGCGCCGGGCAGGAAGGGCCCGGCCCCTCTCACCGCTCCTCCCCGTGCAGATGGTGAACCTGCTGCTGAACAAAGGGGCCAGCCCGAGCACTTGCGACAAGAAGGACCGGCAGCCCATCCACTGGGCAGCTTTTCTAGGTGGGTGTCGCGGTTTCACCCTGAGGCAGCCCCCAAACCCCTCAGGGCCGCTCGCCCTCTCCCCACCGGCAGGATCAGGGAGAGGATCGGAGGGGTGGAAGCTGGAAAATTCCCCCACGAGCATCGCTCTGGTTTCATCCCCCATTGCTGCCTGTGGATTCACCTTTCAGGATGGTGGGGCTCCCCAGAGAGCCTGTGTTCTCTGGGATCCCTGGCTTTTACCACTGTCTCCTGGACAGGGCATTTGGAAGTTCTGAAGCTGCTCGTGGCCCGGGGAGCTGACGTGATGTGTAAGGACAAGAAGGGCTACACCCTCCTGCACACGGCGGCGGCCAGCGGCCAGATCGAGGTCGTGCGTCACCTCCTGAGGCTGGGGGTCGAGGTAAGACCCCCACAGCTGCTCAGGGTGGTGCTCAGGTGCAGGCCAGGCTGGAGACAGGAGCAGGAGAGGGTGCTGGATGGTGGCAGGAGCTCGAGGTGGTTCCCAGCCGCCTTCTCCCTTCCCGAATCCCCAAATCCTCTGGTCTCGGTTGCTCCCGCAGATCGATGAACCAAATTCCTTCGGTAACACTGCACTTCACATCGCCTGTTACATGGGCCAAGATGCCGTGGCCAACGAGCTGGTCAACGTCGGTGCCAACGTCAATCAGCCCAACGAGAAGGGCTTCACCCCCCTGCACTTCGCTGCCGTCTCCACCAACGGGGCCCTGTGCCTGGAGATCCTCGTCAACAATGGGGCCGACGTCAACTTTCAGGTCTGGAATCTGTGAGAGTGGGGAGCAGGAGCCCAGTGCTCGAGGCAGGAGCCTGGGGAGGGGGTGGGATGGCCCTGGTGTGATGCTGGTTCTGTTCTCGCAGAGCAAGGAAGGGAAGAGCCCATTGCACATGGCTGCGATCCACGGACGGTTCACGCGGTCGCAGATCCTCATCCAGAACGGTGAGTGCTTGCTCCTCCAGCCCTGGGTTATCCCAGCCTTTTCTTGTGCCTCCAGGACCTCCTGTCAAGTTTGCTCAGGGGGTTTAAGACCTCTCCAGTCATCACTCAAACTCCTTCTGTGCCCTTGGATAATATCCACTTCTGACATTCAATCTAAACCTCCCCTGGCACAGCTTGAGGCTGTTGCCTCCTGTCCTGTCTCCTGTTACCTGGTTCCACCCTCCTGTCAGCGAGTTGTAGAGAACGAGAAGGTCCCCCCTGAGCCTCGTTTTCTCCAGGGGCTGTTGCTGGTGGCCTTGTGTTTCTTGGGGGTAGCAGGGATTGTCATGTCCAAAGGCAGCAAAATGCAGGCCAGGGGACTGAAATTCCAGCCAGGTCAGAGCTGGTCCAGCCAAACAACATTCCCACTGCCACAGCCTGAAAGGCAATATTGCTCTAAGAGGGCTCAGGCTTGGCAGACACCCCAGGGCTCAGCAGAGCCATCCGGGATGGAAAGCGTCCCCTCGGGGGGAAGGGGGGATCTGCTGCCCAGGGCTGGCAGGATGCACGTGGGCTCTCAGCTCTGAGAGCAGCTTCCAGTTCTCCTGCAGGGTGCTGTGTGGACTCGAGTCCAGTTCTCCTGCAGGGTGCTGTGTGGACTCGAGGTGTCAGCCGTGTCCCTGAGATGGGAATGCAGTGTCGGAACAGCCCGTGCTGCTCGAGGCTGGAACGCTGGCAGAGCCCTTTGCTTTTCCCTTGCAGGCAGTGAGATTGACTGTGCTGACAAATACGGCAATACCCCCCTCCACGTTGCTGCTAGATACGGCCACGAGCTGCTAATTAGTACTTTGATGACGAATGGTGCTGACACTGCAAGGTAAGGCAGGTCTCTTCTTTCCTCCCCCTGCTCCAGGCCGGAGGATGCAGCCATGGAATCACAGAATCATGGAATCATTAGGGCTGGAAAAGACCTCTAAGGTCATTGAGTCCAGCCATCAAACCATGTCCAGAAGTGCCTCATCCATATCCCTTCTGAGTGCCTCTGGGGATGGTGACTCCCCCACTACCCTGGGCAGCCTGTGCCAGTGCCTTCACCTTTTCAGTGAAGGAATTTTCCCTCTTATCCAACCTAAACCACCCCTGGCACAACTTGAGGCCGATTCCTCCAGGCTGAGCCCCCCCAGCTCCCTCAGTTCTCCAGCCCCTTCTCCTTGTTCTCCAGCCCCTTTCCCAGCTCCACTCCCTTCTTTGGGCACACAGAATCCATGACCCACCCTGACTCCCTCCTCCTCTCCTTGCAGGCGTGGGATCCACGACATGTTCCCTCTGCACTTAGCTGTTCTCTTCGGATTTTCAGACTGTTGTCGTAAGCTACTTTCCTCAGGTGAGTGGCCCAAAGCCCTCCTGTGCCGGGGCAGTGGGGGGACCCCCGAGCTCCCCGCTGACCCCCTGCCCCTCCTGCCCCCCAGGTCAGTTGTACAGCATCGTGTCCTCGCTGAGCAACGAGCACGTGCTGTCCGCAGGCTTCGACATCAACACGCCTGACAACCTCGGGAGGACTTGTCTCCACGCTGCTGCTTCTGGGGGGTGAGCGGGGCTGGGGCTTGGGGCATGAGGGGAGTTGGACCCCTGGGTGCTGCTCCCGGCTCTGAGGGAGGGCAGAGACGTGTTCAGAGCAGGAATGGAAATGGAAACCTGGAGCTTTTTTGAAGCATAAATCCACTCTGTCAGCTGCAGTGATGCTGTGGCTGATGTCTCTCTCTAATTACCTGGTTGGCTGGGAGCTCCATGGCGGGCAGGAAGCACAGAGAGTTATTTACTGGAGCAGGGAAGAGTTTTGTGTGTGCAGCATCAGCCATGGCTGCGGCTCCTGAGCTGCCCAGAGATGACAAACCTGACTGAGCTGTGACATGTCCAGGCTGTCTTGTCTGCACTGGGAGGAGTTTGCATTCCTGCTGTTTTCCCTTCTGATCTGTGCCTAACTCCTCTCCCTCCCTCCTGCAGGAACGTTGAATGTCTTAATTTGCTGTTGAGCAGCGGTGCTGACTTGAGGAGGAGAGATAAATTCGGGAGGTGAGTGTCCTGTGAGTTCTGAAACAGCTGGAGCACGGTGAGCCTGGGTTTGGGATGGGACATTCACAGAATCCCAGAATCCTTGAGGTTGGAAAAGCCCTACCAGACCATCGAGTCCAACCTGTGCCTGATGCCCACCTTGTCCCCCAGCCCAGAGCACTGAGTGCCACATCCAGATGTTGTTCCTTGGACACCTCCAGGGGTGGGGACTCCACCACCTCTCTGGGCAGCCCCTTCCAATGTTTAACAACCCCTCCCATGGAGAGATTCCTCCTGATGTCCTCAGACCTCTGCTGTGTCTGGATCACCCCTCTAACCCCAGGGGCTCAGCTCTGGTTCCTCAGAAGGAGCTGCAGCTCCAAACCCTTGAGCCTGCCTTGCTGCTGGGTGAGTTTCTCCACCTGTGCTGATCTCCCCTGTCCCTTCCCCCTTTCCCAGGACTCCACTGCACTACGCAGCTGCCAATGGCAGCTACCAGTGTACGGTGACACTGGTGACGGCGGGAGCCAGTATTAACGAGGCCGACTGTAAAGGCTGCACCGCCTTACACTACGCTGCTGCCTCGGACACGTACAGGAGGTGACTGTTTGGGGGCTGGGGGGTGGCACTGGGTGCACTGGTGCTGGGTGGTGACACTCTGCTGTCCCCTGGCTGCCTCCTGCCACTGGTGCTCGGTGGGTCACGAAAAGGGGGAGGACAGGGGGGTAACCAACCATCTGATGGGGGTCTGTGGCCTTCCAGAGCAGAGACTCATTCAGGAAACAGCCATGACACTGATGAGGAGCCACTGAAGGAGTCCAGGCTGAAGGAGGCATTCTTGTGAGTCCATAATTGTGTAACTTCTGAAGTATTTCTAAACTTTTAACAGCCACGCCTTCTTGCAGGAAGTAGTTGTGCAGCTCATGATGTATTGCATGACGAAGCACTACTTCTTTCTCCTCCTGAATTTGCTCCCCTAGTTCTTTTATTTAAAGAGAAGGCATAAGAACAGTGTTGGGTCAGAGCAGAGCTCAGTCTGGCCCCATGTTCTGTTTTCCACAACAGCCAGAGGTGGGTGCTCAGCAGAGAGTATAAGAAGATGAATACATGGAATATATTACCTGACTGCCTTCCATCTCTTACCGTGTCGTATTTTGCTCTGGGACATGGTGATTCGGTGTTTGCCCATTCCCATTTTGCTGGGAGTCCCTCTCTCTGGAGCAGCAATACCTTGGAGAGAGGAAACATCTGCTGATGTGATTCCCAAGGCAAACCCAGTCCTCGCTTGCAGCGGGCTTTGCATGCACTCCGTGTCCAGGCAGGATTCCTACAGCACCTGCTCTGAGATAAATCAGGGTGCTCCCCACAGAACTCTGCCTCTCCAGTCACTCCTTGTCCTTCATCTCCCCTCTTCTGCTCGTTGCAGTTGTTTGGAGTTCCTGCTGGATAACGGTGCCGACCCCTCCCTGCGGGACAAGCAGGGATACACCGCTGTCCACTATGCGGCTGCGTACGGCAACAGGCAGAACCTCGAGCTGGTGAGTGGCTGGGGGACCCTCTGTGCTCCCAGCAACAGGGGCAGACGTGTCAAAGAACGTGTCACACCCCTGGTGACCAGGTGTGGCTCAAGGAGTGTGTGTTGTGGGTTGTCCAAGAGGCGGAGTTGGTCATGGGGACTTGGGGAGCTGTGGGAATGCCATGGAGGGAAGATCTGGGCTGGAGGGAGAAAGGAGGAGAGGAGGGAGCTGTGTTACCTGGCAGAGGCAGATGTGTGGATTTCTTGGAGCTGTGTGGGCAGAGGAAATCAGGAAATCTTGGACTAGCAGGGACTTGCTGCTGCCTATGGAGCACTCAAAGCCAGTTAGGGAATGTCCCATCCTGAAATTCAAGCAGATGAGCAGGATTTCTGACCCCTCTGCAGCTACTGGTGGACAGGGTGCATGTCAAAGCCCCCTGGAACCCAGGAGCAGTTATGGATCAGTTATGAGTTTGTGTTGTTGGTCTTGCAGCTCCTGGAAATGTCTTTTAACTGCCTGGAGGATGTGGAAAGCACCATTCCAGTCAGCCCTTTGCACTTAGCTGTAAGTACGGCTGGGGAGGCTCCTCCTGTGTCCTGGAGAGGTGCCCGGGGTGGCCAGAGGAGGGAAGGTGCCAGTGGTGGGGGAGCAGCTTCTCCACAGGTCAAAGGCCTTTAATTTGTCTGTTAAAGACTTTGATCTTTCCAGGACTTTCTGGGTGCTGCTGTTTGGAGTGTGGGCAGGGGTGGGAGTGGGCGAGGGTTTTGAGTGGGACCCAAATGCCAAGGAGGTCCAGTGGCCGGGCAGGAGCAGCTCTGCCCTGAGGGGCTCGGAGGCAGGAATTACCCCTGGGGGACACTTCTGGGTGCCTGGGGGGCACTCCTGGGCACAGCCTCTGCAGACACTGCTCCAACACGGTGTGCCTTGTCCCAGGCCTATAATGGTCACTGTGAAGCCCTAAAGACACTTGCTGAGACCCTGGTGAACCTGGACGTGCGGGACCACAAGGGCCGGACAGCGCTGTACCTCGCCACGGAGCGGGGGTCCACGGACTGCGTGGAGGTGCTCACCAGCCACGGCGCGTCCGCGCTGGTCAAGGAGAGGAAGAGGAAGTGGACCCCTCTCCACGCTGCAGGTGATGCAGGGAGGGCAGGTGGGGCGGGGAGCGTGACCAGGGCCCCTCGGTGCCATCGCGGCCGAGGATGCCCCTTCACCTGGCTGCTGTTTGGGATGAGGGACGGGGCACCAGCCCCTTCCTTTGGTCCTGGGGGCCCACCTGTGCGTGTGTGTGACTCCTTTCCTCGTCCCTGTCTCCAGCTGCCAACGGGAACACGGATTCCCTGCACCTCCTGATAGACAGCGGGGAGCGGGCGGACATCACCGACGTCATGGACGTGCACGGCCAGTGAGTCTGTCCGGGTGTTTCTTTGGGATCTGTGTGGCACAGGGTCAGGTCCTGCAGGTGGCTGAGGCAAGGGAGAGAGGGAATACTCAGACCTGGCTGATTTCCAAGCTCAGCCTCCTCCCTGCTACCTTTCCCCCCTCCAGAACCCCACTGATGCTGGCGATCATGAACGGCCACGTTGACTGTGTCCATCTGCTGCTGGAGAAGGGATCCACGGCTGACGCAGCCGACAAGAGGGGAAGGACTGCCCTGCACCGAGGGGTGAGTGTGTCCCTGGGGGCTCTGGAGCTGCTGCCAGGCCTCCTGTGTGGAGGCTGCTCGGAGGCCAGGCCAGTGGTTTCTCTGTTCGCAAGAGTCCTCAGGGAAAGTGCCCGTGTTCCTTCGGACACACAGCATTTGAGAAGGAAACTGTGGAGGAAAGGTGTCCTGCGTTGTTAAATGATTCCAAAGGTGGGGTCTGACCCTCTGGTCCTCTCTCCTGGCCACAGGCTGTGACAGGCTGTGAGGATTGCCTGGCTGCTCTGCTGGACCACGATGCCTTCGTCCTGTGTCGGGATTTCAAGGGCCGGACCCCGATCCACTTTGCCTCAGCGTGCGGGCACCTGGAAATCCTGCGGACCCTGCTGCAGGCAGCCCTCTCCACTGACCCCCTGGACTCTGTGGTGGACTACAGCGGCTACTCACCGATGCACTGGGCTTCTTACAGTGGTGAGGAGGGGCTGGGCCCTGCCTGCCCCCAGAGGGGAGGGGCCTCAGCAGAGCAAAATGCTGCCCAAAGAGCCAGAGGCTCAGACAAGGTGCCCAAACACTCCCAGTTCTGGGCCCCTCACAGCAAGAGAGACATTGGGGGGCTGGAGTGTGTCCAGAGCTGGGAATGAAGCTGGGGAAAGGGCTGGAGAACAAGGAGGAGGGTCCAGGAAGGACCCACAGGCTCAGTGCTGACACATTTCTGTCCCTCTGTCCTCAGGGCACGAAGATTGTCTTGAATTGTTACTTGAACACAACCCGTTTGCGTACCTAGAAGGAAACCCCTTTACTCCATTGCACTGTGCAGTGTAAGTGACACCTGGGACCTGCCCCAGGTCCTTCCCTGCCCTGTGATGGGGGACTGAGGATTTGTACTGCAAGTGGAGGAGCTCCAAACCCTGTCCCTCTTGCCAAGGGCTCTGTCCTGGGCAGCAGCAGCTGGGGAGGGGAGAGGAAGGGGGAGAATGGGGTGGGCCTGGAGTGTCCTTGGGACCTGGAGCAGCAAAGGGATGGGCAGGGCTGTTGTCTGACATGTTTCTGTGTTTTGGGGTGTTTTACCCCAAACAATTCCAGAGCATCTGCTGTTTGTGTCAGAGCCCCAGGAATGTGCTGCTCAGTCCTGTTCTAACTTCCCTTCTCGTCCCCCCTCAGAATTAACAACCAGGATGGCACTGCTGAAATGCTGGTGGAAGCATTAGGTGCCAAGATTGTTAATAGCAGAGATGCCAAAGGAAGGTGAGCCCACACTCATCCCCACCCCCCATCACCCGCTTCCTGGTGCCACTGTGCCCCCCACGGTGACTTCCACAGGATTTCCCCAGCTCCAAGGGGCTCTGCCATCCCCAGACACGCCAGGGTGGGTGCTGTGCCCTCCTCTTGACCTGCTCCTTGTGTCTTCCCAGGACACCCCTTCACGCTGCTGCCTTTGCAGACAACATCCATGGTTTACAGCTGCTGCTGCGGCACCAGGCCGAGGTGGACACGGCGGACAAGCTGGGCAGGACTCCCCTCATGGTGGCTTCTGAGAACGGGCACACGGCAGCAGTGGGTGCGTGCTGGGTCCCCCAGGATGGGGGGTGAGCAGATCCCGTGGGAGCAGGGCTGTCCCTCTCCTCACAGGCACGCTGGGGCATTGCTGGGCTCTGCGTGGCTTCCTCTCACCGGCACCCCTCCTCTCTTTCAGAGTTCCTGCTGTACCAAGCAAAAGCAAATATAACTGTGCTGGATGTCAACAAGAACACAGCTCTTCACCTGGCCTGCAGCAAGGTAGGGAGGTGGCTGGGATTACTGTCACCGTGTCACCATCATGAGAAGGGTTGTCCCCCTACTCGTGCCCCACAGAGCAGAGCTGACGGTCCTGGGCCTGCCCTGACACACCTGGGTCAGTTTTGAGCAGCTCAGGTAGCACAGGCCCATCTGTGTTTTCCTTGGGGAGCCCCTCTCTGAGTTTCCATCCCTGGCAGTGTTCCAGGCCAGCTTGGATGGGGCTCTGAGCAACCTGGGCCAGTGGAAGGTGTCCCTGCCCATGGCAGCGGTGTGGAACGAGTTGATCTTTAAGGTGCCTTCCAAGCCAACCCATTCCATGATTCCACAGTGGGAGCAGGAGGCTCGTGGTCAGCATGTCCACACTGAGGAGGAGGTGGAGGGGGCAGCAGCTTGTGCCCTCCAGCCCTGCCCAAGGTGGAGGGTTGGGTTTAGGAAACATTTCCGTATCCCAGGGAATCCTGCACTAACCCCTCCGATCTCCTTCCCAGGGCCATGAAAAGTGTGCCTTGTTGATCCTGGGGGAAACCCAAGACCTTGGCCTTATCAATGCAAGTAACAGTGCTCTGCAGATGTGAGTATTTGCACAGCTGGTGCCCGTGGGACGGCTGGGGCTTTGCTGGGAGCGGGGGGAACACCTTGGGAAAGGTGGAGGGAGCTCAGCTCCTGCTCTGGGAGCAGGTGAGCTCAGAGCAAAGTGCCTGCCCTTGAAGCCACTCCCAGGGCTGTGTTTTGGCCCAAGGTGCTCCGGGCAGGTGTCTCTGCCAGCAGGTTCATCCCACTTTTCCCTCTTGCCAGGCCGCTCCACATTGCGGCGCGGAACGGACTGGCCTCCGTCGTGCAGGCCCTGCTCAGCCGCGGGGCCACCGTGCTGGCTGTGGATGAAGAAGGTGCGTGTCCTCAGGGGCCCCAGGGGAGCTCAGCATGCCTGGGAGGTGGGGAATGCCCAGGAACTGCTCAGCCAGGATCAGGATTTCCACATGCCCTTCCTGTGGCTCAGCAGCTCGTGGCGTGGCAGACGCGGCCTGGGGAGGACAGGAGCACCCGCCATTCCCTGTGAAAGCACTTCCAGGTCTCACAGGTGTTTGGAATGTGGTTTTTTCCTCCCTGTGCACCATCTGGTGCTCCCTGGCTCCTGCCAGGCCCCAGCCCAGCTGTGACTCACTTCCACCTTGGCAGAAGCTGCTGGTTGTGGCCAGAAGCTTTTTCTCCCGGCACAGCGGGAATCCCTCCAAGCTGTGGTAAATATCCCAGTGTCTGCCAGGTGCTCCCGAGCATCTCCTGCTGGTCCTGCCACACTTCAGAGTGGTTCCTGCAATCACAGGGTTTGACAGTGCCCAGAGGGGTCTGTTGAGATGTTGAATAATTGAGATATTGGTAAAGGCAAAGAGATCAAGTCGTGGTTGCTCCATCCCTGGAAGTGTCCCAGGCCAGGTTGGATGGGACTTGGAGCAACCTGGTCTAGTGCAAGGTGTCCCTGCCTGTGGGAGGGGATTTGGAACTGGGTGATGTTTGAGGTCCCTTCCACCCCAAACCATTCCATGATTCAGTGTCCTGGACCCCGACTGCAGCGTTCCCGGGCCCTTCCTCACCCCTTCTTCATTCCAGGTCATACCCCAGCCTTGGCATGCGCTCCCAACAAGGACGTTGCCGACTGCCTGGCACTTATCCTCTCCACCATGAAGCCTTTCCCACCTAAGGACGCCATCAGCTCTTTCAGCTTCAACCTCCTCAAGAACTGCGGCATCGCGGCCAAGACGGCGGCGTGCGGGGCCCTCCCCAACGGCAGCTCCTGCCCCTACACCAAGGACCGGCACAACGCCATCGGCCTGGACGGCTGTTACTCGGAGTAGCTTAAACTATGGGTGACCTAATATCTTATTATATTTATTTAGAAATTCTATAAATATAGGGCACTTTAAAGAAGAACAAGACTGGGCAGGCCAAGCACGGCCCCGGTGGGCCAAGAGTTCGGCGCTTTCCCCCTCTCGCCGGGTGCCGGTGCAGTGCCAAAGCTGTTCCTGGCAGTGCCCTTCCCGTCCCCTGCCCCTTCCCAATCCTCTCTGTCCCCTCGGTGGCCGGGCAGGAGGCGGAAGAGGCAGGATTTGGGCTGGGACAAGGCAGGTGCCACCATCCACCGCTGGTTCCCCCCCAGCCTGCGGGGTGGGGTGAAGCCGTTCCCGGTGTTTCCCGGTGCCCTGTGCCAGCCTCCCACCCTGCTGGGATGCCCCTGGGGCTGCCATCCGGCTGGGATGGGGAAGCCTGAACTCTTGGTGGGATGGGGGGGTGGGAATTTGGGAATGGCTGGCCAGGGTGGGGTCAGCTCCTGGCCAAGTGCCGCTGTCACTGCTCTTTCCTCCTCTCATCCTTCGAGTCCAAACACTTGAACCAAGATCTACTGTACCTGGGACACTAAAATATCCTTTTGGCAGCTCATTTCTAGGGAAAAACGGGTGCTGCTGCCCGAGCCCGGCCACAGATGTGCCACTGGAGCCTCCTCCCCACACCAGGCACTTTAGGGATTCTGTTGGTTGTTGGTTTTGATTTTTTCCTTGGCAAATTGTCAGATCCTAAAACGATTCTGCTTTGAGTTTCCCTTCCCTGGTTTGTGTGGCTGTTTCCATGCGAGAGTCAGTGTTGGTTGGTTGTTTTTTTAAAAAGAGATGAAAATTATTTATAGAGAAACAAACATTTACCTTTAAAAAACAACAAAAACCATAAAAAAAAAAAATCAATGTTTTAGCCTTTACTAAGGAAACAAATGCACTTCTGAGTCCTTATTCACAACCCTGAGTAAGTCTGTGTTGCTTTTTCGGATGCAGCATCCTGGCAGGTTTCGTGGCACGTGTGGATGTGGGTGGGACCGTTGTTTTTTGGTTTGGGTTTTCCTTTTTTTCCTTTTCTTTTTTTTAATTTTAGAAATCCTGTTTATGCTGCAGGTTTGAAGCATTCGAGAATGTTGCACTGTTGGTTTTTTTTCCGTTGATTTTTTTTTTTTGTCGTTGTTTTTCCTTGGGAATTACTGTAACAGTATCAGAAAACAATGTTTTCCTCCATATCATGAGTCTGTTCAAAGCCAAAGACGGGGATGCAGAGACCGGGAACGGGCTGGAATTTCAGGAACCACCGTCCCCCCCGAGCTCCTCTCCCACTGCAGCCAGGCCCCCATGAGGAGCACGAGGCTGGGGCCGCCCGGGGGGTGTCCCAGTGTAATCCCCCCGGGATGGGAGCAGGGATAAGAGCATCCCTGTCTCCCACGGAGCCCGTGATGGGACTGAGCGAGCCCTGAGTGTCAGAGAGAAAAGGGCATTTCTGTAACCAAAATTACGTCTTTTTTTGTCTTTTTTTTTTTTAATAATTTCTAAATGAAGGTGGCTCCTGTCAGGGAGGAGTGTCAGGTGGAGGTTGTGGAGCAGGCGCCGGAGCCGACCATTCCCGGGAGAGCTCCCGGGGGACACTCCCGGTCCCCACGGGCAGGATCCCCTCGCACTGTTTCTTTCTTTTTACCAAAGCCAAACTCTTAGAACCAAATATGAAGTTTCAGTCTTGGCCTTTGGGTGATAAGCACATTTTCTTGGCGTTTCCTGGAGGAGTTTGTCCCAGAGTGGGGAGCGGGGCCGGGGCCCTCCCGGTGCTCCTGCTCCCCATCCCGCACTTCGCTCAGCAAAGCACTCAACAAATTTGCCCTTGGTGAGATCTTGGAGCCAGGGCCAGGCACTTCTGAGGGGCAGAGCTCTGCCTGCTCCAGGGGGATCTTCCCTTTGGATCCCCTCCTTTTAGGACAGTATCCCCAGCGTGTCCCCTCCTCACTCCCCTTGAGCTTGAAAGGAAGCGTTGACCTTTCTGCACCGGATACCTCAGTTTGGAACCAGAATGAACTCGTGAAACTTGAATCAAAAGGTCCTTTTGGAAGATCCTTTTCAGTATTCTACGGAGGAGAACTGGAAACAGAGACTTGTTTACATTGCTGGCGAATCCGCACTCGCCTCTTGCAGCTCTTTCCCTTTCTGGGAGGAATTTAAGCATCACTTTATCTCCTGGCTGCTTCCCTCCCCCTTCCCGCGGGGCAGGAAAGTGGGGCCAAAGTCCTGAGCCGTTGCCTTCAAGGGCTAAAGTGCTTTTCCAGGCACATGGAGGGGCCGAGGCGCTCCCGGCACGGGCAGCGATTCCCGGGGTCAGAGATGGGTTGGAGCAGGGCTGTGGTGCTCCATCTCCGTGGAATCCATCCCTGCCCCGTGAGAGCTGGGGCCGTGCCCCTCGTGCCGCGGCCCTCGGTGTGGCCTCATGGCTGTCGGGAGACGGGATCCGGCACCATTTCACTTGAACGTGGCTTTTCCCACCGTTCCGTAGAGCACATGGAAAATGCTGCTTTTCCTTCACTCCCCACCCCCCCTCCCTGTTTTTTGGAGTGTTATTGTGGTTTTCAGTTCCTTTGCTTAGAGGAGAAAGCTGATCCCTCTCTTGGCCTTGTTTCTGTGCTCCAGCGTGTCCCCTCCGCTCAACGACGCCGAGACAATCAATGTGATCTCCGTAAGGGCTTCTCCATCCTTTGCCACGCCACGCTTTGTGTCCTCCCCTCTTAGCCAGGAGCTTTTTCTCCCCTCCCCCTGTGTCTTCTTAAAGATAGTAATAATGATAATAATAATAATAATAATAATAATGAGAATGGAGGGAAACGAGGTTCCAGCGGCGCATCCGTGGTCTGGGAGCAGAGGGGAGGGAATGGGGTGGGAAGGGGACGTGTGGCCTTGGGGGTCCCAGTCTTGTTCTCCTTTAACGCTGTATCGTATCGTTGACAGCACAGCTTGACAATTTAAGTAATAATCAAAGTGTTTGGTAATAATGCATTATTTTGCTAAACGAGATTTGTGATGGTTTCCCTGGTGCATTGTAAAGAGGGATGGAGGGAAACTTCCGCTGCCCTGCCCGCTCCCCCCTTCCCAGCCCCTCGGGGGCTCCCAAATCTTCTTCCCTCGGACCTTTAAGCCAAAGTTGGACCATTCCCGCTCAGTTCTGCCCCGCCACGCAGCGAATTTTTCGGCTTTTCCCACCTCAATCTGATCAATCTCTTGGTTTGGAACACGCAGGCACCGGATCTCCACCCCCTTCCCTGTCCCAGCCTCTGGAAAAAGGAAGTTTCTCTCCGCCCCCTTGGTCCAAAGCACTTGCTTCAAGTAATAAGCACTTTTGTTAAAGCATGAGTCTGGATTCCCTTTAGCATCCCACGGGATAGAGAGCAGCGCGAGGGATACGAGAGTGTCTTTGGCTTTATTTTTTCAGTTGGAATTTTAGAAAAAAAAGTTCGTTTCTAGGGAATGAATGGACAAAGGGAAGTTGTGTTTTGAGAGAGAGAAAAAAAAAACTAAAAAAAAAACCTAAAAAAACAAACAAACAGACAAAAAAAAAAAACCCAACAGCACAAGTACATTTCAAGTCCCCGGGTGTTTTTGCACTGCCATTGCCCGAGCGAGGGGCTCCGGCCCCCTGAGCCATAGACCCTCTGACAAACACTGAATGTACCGGGCTCGGCCGCGTTCCCGACGGAGCCACAGTCCCTGAGCGAGGAGGAGAGGCTGCCTGGTGTCTTTCTTGTCGCTGTTCCCCAGCTGCAGGCACTTGGAAGCTTAGTTCTTTGGGGAAATGTGTCCCCTGTCCCGCTCCTGTCCCCTCTCCCATCCCTGTCCCATCCCTCTCATGTCCCTTCCCTATTCCTCTCCCATCCTTCTCCCATCTCTTTCCCACTCCTCTCATCCTTCCTCCCATTTCCGCTTCCACCCTTCTCCCATACCTTTTTTGTCCCCTCTCCCATCCTCTGTCTCCTCCCTTCCCCATCCCTCTCCTGCTCCTCTCCCCTCCCTCTCCCAGATGGAGCGAGGATGCCCCTCCCCAAACCCAGATGAGCAGCCCCCAGCCCCATCCCGGGGCTGGAATCCAGCAAATTAAAAAGTAGCACTAAAAGCCAAGTAAAAAAAAAAAAAGAATTTTTTTCTCAAGAATCGTGGAATAAGTTTTGGTTTTGTTTCTGTTTGGGGTGTTTGGAGCACCCGGAGCGTGGTGGGGCCTGTGCAGATCCCAGTCCCCGGCACGGGGGGAGGAACAAGGAAAACCCAAAACAACAAACGCAGAGACCCAAGGAACAAAACCTTTTTCCTTGATTTTATCCTGATGTTCCCGAGGAGCCCCCTGGCTCCCTGCCAGCATCACCCCCGGCGGCCACAGGGACCACAGGGGGGACCCCGGGGTCCTCCGGTGGCAATGCCGGGGCCGGATCCGAGCAGCCCACGCTCACCTTTGCCTTCAGTGAGAAACCAAAGGAAAAACCAGCCCCTTCCAGCGGACCCGGGTGTGGACGCGCCCATTCCTTGGTTCGGGCTTTTGTTTCTTTTTCTTTGCTTTTCACCCCCACCACCCCCCCCCCCGGCTCCTTTTCTTTTCTTTTCTTTGTTTTTTCTCCAAGGACACAAGGAGCTCTTCAATCCTCTTCTCCTGGCTGGAATTTTCTGGGCTCGGCAGTGAAAGGAGATTAAACCCCACCCCCTCTCCCCCCCCAAAAAAAAAAGCCGAGACTCAACCGAAGCATCGTGGGGAGCTCTGGTAACTGGTAACGTACACAGGAGGCAGGAGCTCCCCCAGGGGAGCAGTGGCTCTGGAGCTGCCCTGGAATCCTTGGAATCGCGGCGCGAGGCTGGAGGGGACGGAGCCGGAGCCCCCGCGGGGCGGTCGGGGATGGGGGACGCGTCTCTTAAGGCATCTGTAGCAACTCTGTGTCTTTAATATCCTCCGTGTCAATGCTGCACCTCTGTATTTTATGCACATAAATGTTCCTTTGGTGGCGACAGGACAAACCTCATCACCTGTCAGGTACAGCCGACTCCTCTGCGTCCCGGCCTCCAGCGGCGCCGGGGCCTCGTCCCTCTGCCCGTGCTGGGGGGGAGAAAGAGGGGGAAGAGAAAAAAAAAAAAAAAAAAAAGAAAAAAAAGAGGAAAATAGCCTTACTCGACCCAGTCGTATCGATATTGTTTGTCAACTTGAAAATAATAAAGGAAACGCATGGAAACCTCCGGCTGAGCCGCGGCGCGGCCTGGGTGTGGTGTTTCGGAGAACCAGGACGTGAGGGGCCTCCTGCTGCTGCTCCTGAGCTTTTTGGGCTCCTCTGGAGCTGCTGCAGGGCCTGGGCCTTCCTCCTGCCCCTTCTTTTTCCTTTTCTGAGCCTGGCAGGAGCGCATTCCTGATGGCTTGACCGACCTGCCAGTTCTCTGGGGCTCTGCACTTGGATTCCAGGGGTTGTTGGCATCGGAGCCAGGGCATGCCAGGGGTCCCACCGTGCTGCTCTGCCCATTCACAGCCCTGTGCTGGCCCCCTCGCCCTGGGAATGAGCTTTCCCAAGCTTTGTCTGGGCTGAGGACATGGATGGAGCTGTTGGTTGGGTGGAAGGAGAGGCCAGAGGCGTGAGGGGTCTGGGACCCCTGAACAGTCCCAGTCCCACCCCAAAAGGGTCTCGACCCCCTGAGATGTCCCAGCCCCCCCAGAGGGATTCCAGCTGTCCCAGTCCTGCTGTGGGAGGGGGTCCAAGCCCCCCAAAGGGACAGGTCAAGGGCTCCAGGCATTCGGATCCTGGCAGCATCTTTGTGAATTTTCCACTGTGTGAAGCGTGACCAGTTTGGGGATTGGGGGCACAGAGCGAGGCACAGGTTGGTCATGGAGGGCTCAGCCCCTTCCTGCCACCTTCACACCTCCCCATGGGTGCTCCAGGTCTGAGTGGAGAACATCGCAGAGAACATCCAGGGTAACATCCCGGAGAATAGAAGCAACTGAGTCCTGTTCTTCGTGTTGTGGCTTTGAATCAGTTATGTTTATTGAAATGCTATTGCTGCTAAGGGCTGTTGTCCTTCCTCTGCCTGGTCTGGGAGGATGGGAAGGGGAACGAGCTCAGATTCAGCCCTGGATCTGGTGTGTGAGCGCCCCACTGCCCCCACCATGGGGCGTTGAGGAGACCCCCGAGTCCCACCCCACAGGGCCGAGCCTGAGGCTCCTGAGGCAGCGGATGCCGCTGGGGTCTTGAGGAGGTGAAAAAATCCGGTCCTGGGGCCTGTTGGGGGTCCTGCCATGCGGTCCTGGGGCCCGTTGGGGGTCCTGCCATGCGGTCCTGGGGCCTGTTGGGGCTCCTGCCATGCGGTGCTGGCCCGGCTGAGCCCCTAGAGCTGCAGCCAGGCGCGGACGTGCCCCTCGGCCAGGGCGATGCCCAGCATGACGCTGCTGCCCAGCAGGAACCCCACGTTCTGCAGGAGGAAGCGGCTCCAGGTGCCCTCGCCGGGGCCCTCGGCTCCCCGCAGCGCCTCGGGGAGCTGGGGCAGAGCAGGGGGCTCAGCACGAGGCTCGGGCACCCCGGACATCCCCGGACACCCCCGGGCACCCCCGGACACTCCCGGACACCCCCGGGCACCCCTTACCATGTCGGCCAGGGCCACGTAGAGGAAGATGCCGGCGGTGGCAGTGAGGACCCAGGGGGTGAGGGGGGTCCCGCTGTGCCCCAGGGCCACCCCCACGACCACCCCCAGGCAGGAGAGCAGGGCCGAGAGCAGGTTGAGCAGCAGGACGGAGCGGGGGGCGGTGCCCGCCCGCAGCAGCACCGCCAGGTCACCTGCGGCCAAGGGGGTGGGTGGGGGGTTGCAACCAGAGGGGGAGGTGGGTGAGGAGTTGTGGGGCTGCCGGGGCAGGGGGAGCAGCACCTACCCAGCTCGTGGGGCAGCTCGTGGCAGAGCACAGCCAGCGCCGTGCTGAGCCCGCTGGAGAGGCTGTGGGAGAAGGCGGCACCTGCGGGAAGAGGGTCCTTCACCCCGGGCCTGCCCGTCCGTTCACCCCCTGCCCCCTGTCCCTGTGCCATCCCTGTCCCCCTGTCCCTGGGGCACTCAGCACCTCCTGTCCCCTGTCCCTGGGCACCCCTCCTCCCTCCAGGTCCACATCCATGCCCATGCCCAGCTCTCCCCCCTCACCGATGGCCAGCCCGTCCGTCAGGTTGTGGACCCCGTCCCCCAGCACCACCATCCACACGATGTCGGTGGCCCTGGGGCTGAGGGGCAGCGCGGGGCCGTGGGAGTGTCCGTGGGGGGGTTCATGGGGGGGTCTGTGGGGCCTCAGCTCCAGCTCTGGGTCCGTGCCTGGTGCTGTGAGGTGTCTCAGCTCGGCCCCTGCGGTGGGACAGACACGTGGTGGGTGCCGGGGCCGGGGGCTGTGGGTGCTGTGGGGCACAAGGGGGGCTCAAACCTCCTGGTGGCGGTGCCAGGACCCCCACAGCCACACCAGGGGTCTCTCCGTGGGGGTGTCCCTGTGAAAGAACTGAGGTGTTGGGCACAAAGCCGGACCTGGTGGCAACCCTGTTGCCCACCTCGTGCCCGTGGCTCTCACCGTGGCCTCCCGCCCGCGCCGCAGCATCCCCAGCAGCAGCTCCAGCAGGAAGAGCAGGTAGATGCCCCCCAGCACTGCCAGCCCCTGCAGCACTGCGGGCCCGGCTCCGACAGCGTCTCCTGGTGCCCCCCCTGGGCCTGGACGGGGGGACCCAGCGGGTCAGGGGACCCGGACACCCCGGTGTCCCCCAGAGTGCCACCTCCCCTCCACAGGGGTGGAGGTACCTACGTGGGGCCAGAGGTGGAGCAAGGCGTCCCCACAGAGCGTCCCCATGGCCAGGGCCACCAGGAAGGCCAGGAGGGAGCGGAAGAAGCCGCGGCTCAGCAGCGGGACCAGGAGCACGGCCAGGGCAGACGGGAGGCTCACGGAGGCCACGGCCAGGAGAGCCCAGCCCAGAGCTGTGGGGAGGGTCAGGGGGCATGGCCGGAGCAGGGGGGCACGGGCATGGGGTGTGGGGATGGGGGGTCCTTGGGGATGCAGGGATGGGGACCCCAGGGAGGTAGGGATGGGGACCTCAGGAATGGGGATCCCAGGACCAGGAGTGTGGGGGATGGCAATCTGGGATGGGGATTGTGAGAGGCGGACACTTAGGGTTGGAGGGATCCAGGGATGGGACCGAAGTGACAGGGGACTCGGGAAGCCAATGATGGAGGGAGCAGGGATGGGGATGCATGGAGAGGGTCCACAGGGCACGGGGAGCAGGCACTGGGTATGTGGGGATGCAGCAATGGGGGACGGGCTGGGGGGACCCGGGGACGGAGCTGCAGGGCTGGGGGACCCAGGGGCCAGGGAGAGGTTACCCCGGGTTGGGGTTACCTGGCCACAGGCCCCCCCCCGGGGGAGGCAGCGTCACCTCATCGCTGTGCTGGATGCAGACCCGGCTGTCGATCTGGTAGAGCAGGGCCGGGCACAGCAGCGTGAACTGCTCCGGCGTCAGCTGCGACACCGAGTCCAGCCCGAAATTCACCAGCAGCTGGGTCACGTTGAGGCACTGCAGGGCCAGGGCTGTGGTGAGCGGTGCTGGGGGTCCCAGGGGATGAGGAAAAGCCGGGGGTCCCCGGAGGCTCCCGGAATGTGGAGGGGAGCGGGACAGAGTGACCCCCACCCTACTCACGTCGTCGTGCGGGTGGTCAGCGCTGGAGTGCTCCAAGCCCAGGACCCTCCCCAGCAGGCTGAGGGTGGGCCGGTACTGCCGGGGGTCCCCCCCAGCACCGGGGGGCTCGGCGGGCTCTGGCTTCACCCAGCTTTGTGTCTGGGAGGGCAGGGGGCTGTGGGAGACCGGGGTGATGAGCCCCCCACCACAGCAGGGCGTGGGGCAGCTCCTAGGGGGCTGTGGGGGAACCGGGTACCTGTGGGGTCGGTCGGTGGTCGGGCTGCCAGGAGCGGCGTCCCCGCCGTGCTCCCAGACCGGGTGCCGGTGCCGGTGCTTCTCCTCCTGCACCTCGAGCAGGTCCAGGTGACTGACGTGGCCGTGGCCCAGCTCCTCGTGCTGGATCTGGACCACCTGGACGCGGCCCAGCCCGAGGCTGCCCAGCAGCCGCGCCAGCCCCTCGAAGGGCAGGGTCCCGTTGGCCCCGTACTGCCCGAAGAGCTGCTGCAGGTAATACCCGTGCTCCTGCGCCGCGTCCTCGGGCAGCAGCCCCGGCGGCTCCGGCGTCCCCCCGGCCCCCAGAGCCAGGAGGAGCCCCAGGAGGAGCCCGGGGGGGCCCATGGGGCGGATCCTGGGGACAGTGGAGCTGGGGGAGGAGGGGGACGCTGGGGTGAGGGTGGTGGGAGCCGTGGTGGGCGCAGACCCCCTGCCCGTGGGTGCCTCCTGGGACGTGGGGTCCGTCCAAGTGGCCCGTCCGTCTGTCCGTCCGCAGGGAACGCCACAGGCGGCACCAGGGTCACGTCCCAGGCCACGTGTCCCACACCTGGGCTCAGGGACACCCCCGGGCAGCGGGGCTGGGACGGGGGTGCTGCCCCGGTGCCCTCCAAGGACTCCCAGGGTGGGAGATGGGGGTGGTGGGGACAATGCTGGGGGGGCACACGGTGACCCTCGTCCTCGAGGGGAGGTTTTGCAACCGGAGCAGGTTTTGTGAGGGAGTTAATGTTTCACCGGGAGGGAGATAAAGCCCTCAGCACCCCCCGAGCTCCCTCCCCACGCCCCCACCCCACCACCCACAGTCCCATATCCCCCCACTGGCTCCCCCTTCCCAGCAGGGACGCGGGACAGGCGCACGTGGGGATGGCATGGTGGGATGGCCGCCCTCCTCCCACGTGGGGCCAGGCCGTGATGGAAAACCCCGGGAGCCAGCGCCCCACCGACTCCCGCCACGGCCCCAAGGGTGCCCCCCACCCTCACCAGAGCCACCCCCACCCACCCAGGCGGGTCTCACTGTCCCCATCATCCTCGTGGGATCCCCCCCCAGTGAGGCGCTGGCATCGCCCGTGTCCCCCCGGGCCCCTCCCGTGCCCACCCGTGCCCACCTGACCGGTGGTGGGGCCGGGGGGACGCGGCCCTGCCCGTCCCCGTCCCCGTCCCGCGTCTGCTGCGCCCGACCCGGGGGGCCAAGGGTCACCCCGAGCTGCTCCAGCCCGGCCCCGGAGCCGGGAGGGGCCGCGGGGAGGGCCTTGAGGGCGGGGGGAGCAGGAGGGGGGTCTGGGTTCCCCCCCGTGCCGGAGCAGGCGAGGCGTGGGCAGAGCTCGACCTTTATTACCGCGCACCCCGAGGGTCCCGGGCGCTGCCCCGGCCCCAGAGAGCCAGGGGCACAGGGTGGGGGGGCTGCAGCCCCCCAGGCACCGCTCAGCCCTGTCCCGCCTGGCACCCCCGAGCACGGGGGGCTCCCGGACACCCCCGGGGGCGCACGGGTGGGGGCAGCGGGGCCCAGGCCCCCCCCGCCGTTCCCAACCGTCCCGGGGCTGCAGGGAGGAGGGTCCGGGCGGGGGTCCCCGTTATCTCTTGCTGCTCCTCCGCGTCTCTTTGCCGTTGCTGACGGGCCCGGGGGCGGGGCCGGGGTGCCCGGGCTGGCTGCGGGTGATGCGGCCGCTCGGGGGGTGCGCGGGGGCGCTGGGGGGGTGCGCGGGGCCCCCCGGGCTCAGCCCGTTCCCGTTCTGGCTGTCGGGGGCTGCGGGAGAACCGGGACGGGAGGGTGGAGCCGCCCCCCATCCCCCCTGAGCCTGGGGGTCCCACGGAGGGGGCGGTTCTGCAGCCCCAGGGTGGGGAGGGGGCTGCCTGACCTACCTGGGGGGGCCGCGGGCGGGCCCTGGGCGGTCTGTGGAGCAGCAGGACTGGCGCTCTCGTTCTGGGCCTGAGGAGGAGGAGTTGAGACCCTCGTGTGCTGCAGAGCTGGGGGGCTGCCCTCAGGGGGCAAGGGGGTCCTGGCAGTGCCAGCCCTGCCCCCTCCCCAGCCCGGGACCCCCCAGCTCACCCCTTTGCTCTGCTGCGCCGCGTACTCGGGGTTGGGCTCGCTGAAGTTGGGCACCTCGGAGTACACCATGCAGAACCTGCGGGCACAGCGGGGCCGTGGGGTCCTCCTGCGGCCCCCCCTGGCCCCGCGAGCCCCCCCAGCTCCGGTGAGACCCCCAGCCCTCCGTACTCGCCGATCTTCTGCAGGTCTCCCCCGCGCCCCGTGTAGAGGGTCAGGCAGCCCTTGAAGACGGACGCGTAGCTGAGGACGAGGAGGAGGAGGAAGGGGGTTCAGGGCAGGGGCCCCGCAGGGTCGGGGGGTCTGGGCGCCCCCCCAGCCCCCCCAGTACCCCTTGGTGAGGCGGATGATGTCCCCGGGCTGGATGAGGTTCCCCACGTCGTCCCACACCGAGATGTTGATGCTGCCGGTCTTGTCGGCCACTTTGCACGTCCGCACCTCGTGCCCGTCCTTGGTCTTCGTCACCCGGCCTGGGGGGGGACACGCAGGGTCAGGGGGGCACGCGGGGTCAGGGGGGCCCCCCCGCCCTCGCACCCACCCGTCTCCAGCACGATGAAGATGAGGTTGAGGTTCTTCAGCCCCGGTTTCACGTCCTTCACCAGCGTCTCGGTGCTCATGGTGCCGGCGGAACCCTGGGGAGAACGGGGGGTACCGGGTATGGGGGGACACGGGGGATGGGGACCGGGGGGACACGGGGGGACACTGGGGATGGGGACACGGGGGAACACTGGGGATGGGGACACGGGGGTACCGGGCATAGGGGGACACCGAGGGATGGGGACACTGGGGATGGGGACACGGATGGGGACACGGGGGACACTGGGGATGGGGACACTGGGACACGGGGAACACTGGGGATGGGGACACGGGGATGGGGACACTGGGGACACTGGGGATGGGGACACTGGGGACACTGGGGATGGGACACGGGGGACACTGGGGATTGGGACATGGGGGACACGGGGGGACACTGGGGATGGGGACACCGGGATGGGGACACGGGGATGGGGACACGGGGGACACTGGGGGGACACTGGGGATGGGGACACCGGGGATGGGGACACTGGGGGGACACGCGGGGACACTGGGGATGGGGACACTGGGGGACACGGGGGGACACTGGGGATGGGGACACGGGGGGACACCGGCCGTGGCACCTCCGGGATGGGTCCCGGGACAGCACTGATGGGACGGGGAGCACAGGTGGGGGCCACCCGGGGATGGGACACTGGAGACGGGACCACCGTCCTGGGGACCACCGGGGACAGCAGGGACGCGACACGGGGGGGGCATCGCTGCTGGGGACGGGACCGCGGGGACGGGACCGCCGGGCTGTGGGGACACCGGGACGGGATCGGAGGAACGAGGCACCGAGCATGGGACCGGGGGGACGGGACACCGGGGGGGCATCACCGCTGGGAACGGGACCACCGGGCTGCGTGCGGGGACGAGATCGCGGGAACGGGGCGGCCGGTTCACCGGGGACAGAACCGCGGGGATGGGACTACCCACGAGCGAGACTCCGGGGCCGCCGTGAGCAGGACCGGGACCGGGACCGTGAGCAGGATCGGGACCGGGACCGTGAGCAGGACCGGGACCGGGACCGGGAGGCCGCCCTCCCTCCCGCCCCGCCACGAGGCGGCGCTCGCAGCCCCCGCCGCGCGCGCTCACCGGGCACGCTCCCGGCAGCCCCCGGACACCGCCCAGTGCAGCCAATCAGCGCGCGGCAGAGAGGGTGACGTAAGGCCTTCCCAACCAATAGCGATGCAGAGAGGGCGGGGCTCCACGGGGAGAGCTGAGCTAAGCCCCGCCCCGACCAGCGAGTTGCGTCTCACTCGGGGCCAGAGCGGCGCTTCCGGCGAGGCAACTTCCGGCGCGGCGGGGCCGGGCGGGGGGGACTCGGTGGAGGCCGCGGCCGCCCCTGAGCCCGGAGCGGCCCCGGAACGGCCCCGGAACGGCCCCGGAGCGGCCCCCGAGCGGCCCGGGCCCGGCGGCCGCGGTACGTGGGGCCGCGGGAGGGGGCCCCGTGGGTGGCGTTCGGGGCTCTCGGGGCGGGGGCCCGGTGCGACCCCGGCAGCACCACGGAGAGCGGGAGGCGGTCCGGGGAGGGGCTGGGGCAGGCCGGACCCAGTCGGGAGTGCCCCGAGGTTCGCCGGGGCCGGTCCCGGGCGGGATCAGTGGCGTGAACCGGCCCCGGCCCCACCGGGGCGGCTGCGGGCGGAACGCGGACCGGGCTGGGAAACGCGGACCGGGCTGGGAAACGCGGACCGGGCTGGGAGTCGCTCCCCTGAGGAATCGTCTGCAGTGAGGACAGAGAAGGCCGGGGGGGGCCGGGACACCGGGGGGCTCCGGGGTGAGGGAGACCCCCGCGGCGGCCGCGGAGGGAGAGAGGAATGTGGAACAATCCAAAGGAATGTGGGAACAATCCAAAGGAATGTGGGAACAATCCCGAGGAATGTGGGGGACAATCCCGAGGAATGTGGGAACAATCCCGAGGAATGTGGGGGACAATCCCGAGGAATGTGGGAACAATCCAAAGGAATGTGGGGAACAATCCCGAGGAATGTGGGGGACAATCCCGAGGAATGTGGGGGACAATCCCGAGGAATGTGGGAACAATCCAAAGGAATGTGGGAACAATCCCGAGGAATGTGGGGGACAATCCAAAGGAATGTGGGAACAATCCCGAGGAATGTGGGGGACAATCCCGAGGAATGTGGGAACAATCCAAAGGAATGTGGGGAACAATCCCGAGGAATGTGGGGACAATCCCGAGGAATGTGGGGGACAATCCAAAGGAACCTGGGGAACGATCCCAAGGAATGTGGGGGATGTGGGGAGCACTCGAAAGCCCAGCAGTGTTTGGGAAGCCGAGGGAAGGCAGGAATTTAACAGCACCCGAGCTCAGCCTTGTTTTCAGGAAGGGCTTTTTTACCGTGATTTTAAATGATAAACGTGAAAATGCCCCACAATTCAGCAGCACCAGGAAAATTTTGGTGCCTCGGTAATAACGGTGTCGAAGGTTCTGGTGCCCAGACCCTGTGGCAGCACCACCCAGGCTGTTCCTGAGCTGATTTTCCTCCTTGTTGCCACGACCAGGAGCTCAAACCAAAATAGTTTTTCCCATTCTGTCGATTTTTCGCAGCAAGGGAGAGAAAAAAACTTGGATTTGTGTCAGGAGATGGTGGGTTTTTTTTTAAAGTGGCATTTGGGGAAACGGGTATTTTTAGCAGGATTTTGTCACTGCAGAGCTGAGGTTTTGCCCAACGGGCTGGTGTTTGTGTCCCTGCCCTGTGGATCCAGCGGGGAATGGGGCTGGAATTCCCAAAGCCAAGGGCCACAGGGAGACAGGGATGTGCATCCCTGTCATGGTCACGTTCAGGGGGGCCACGAGGGCTCTCCAGGGCTGGTTTGGGGCTCTGGAGGGACCCTCGTTCTTCCCACTGGAATTTGGAATCCCCAGAGGCAGGGAACAGGTTGGGACACAGAGGGAATCCTCTGCCTGGCCAGTGCCTTTGGCCCCTCATCCCGCTGTGTCCGGGGGGAAATCGGCGCCTTCCGGGCGGCTCCTCCACAGGTTCTCCGTTGGTTTTTGGAGAGTCTCAAAGGCTCCTCAGAAAATGCCAGCTCCTTTCCCACGTGGCTGGAGGGGCCTGAGGGGCAGGGCACAGCCCCCACCTCCTTCCCCATCCTCACCCTCCCTCCCTTCTGTGTTCCCTGGGACCAGCTCTGCCCTGTCTGACTCCGGCGCGGGGCCCTCGAGGAACCTTCTGGGCTGTGGAAGAGCGAAGGGAAAGATGGGCCATTGGGAGAGCGTCCCTGCACAGAGTGAAGCCAGCCCAGCCCTGTGCCGCTCCAGGAGGAATTCTGCCACGGGAGGTAAAACAGGGGCCTCTCCGAGCCTCCCTTCTCCTGGGAATGGCTTCAGTCCTTCCCCCACACCTTTCTGCAGGAGTGGAGCCTTGTGGTGGCTGCTCCCAGGTCTGGGGGGTTTCTCGCCCCAAAAACCTTGGATGTAAATCCATATCCACGGGGAAATAGCGAGATCTTCCTTAAATTCCAGAGGTTTGACAGAAATCCTGTCCAACTGGCTCAGGAACTGCCCCTGCCTGGTTTCTCCATCTTGTATTTCACGTAGAAGGAGCCGGGCAGACCTGGGAATTCCCAGAGGATCCCCGGGACTGGCAGGGGAAGGGTTTTGGTAACGAACCCCCCGGATGAATCCAGAGCCCCGTGGATCTGGAGCTGCACCCCGAGAGGCGCCGGCTGATGTTTGCACAGCTGGAGCTGCTGCCCTGCCACGCTCTCCTCGCCGCAGGGCCGTGGTTCCAGAGCCTCGTGAGGGCTCCCCGTGAGCTCCCACTCCTCCTGTCCCTGCTGGCTCCTGTTTGGATTTGGGGTGGGGACTCCTTTATCGGGAGTCAGGCGCCCTGTGGGGCTGCGGGGCTTTGGCACCGCCTTTGATATCGTGAGAGCGGGGCAGGAGGAGCAGAGGGTCCGGTAACTGCCGGGGCAAAGCTCAAGGCCGGCCCTGGCAGGGAATTCAGGGGTTGGAGAAGGGAGTTACCTGGCGGTGCTGTCCTTGGCAGGACGTTCCTCCCTCCCGGGGAGGAGCCGGTGCCGTCGCGCGAGGCTGGCGAGGGTCTGGCTGCCCCAGGAACGGTCCCTGGCACACGTCCCGCCTCAGCAAACCAAATAAACTGTGCAGAACAGCCCCCCAGATCAAACCCCAGCAGCCACCGAGTGGAAAATCACATCAGGATTGGGAATAAGCAGTGGGAGCAGCAGCATCGGGGCAGTTGCGGGCACACAGAGGGGGCTGAGACCCTTTTGCCCCCTCACAGGGCACCTGTAGAGAGCCCTGGGCATACATGGGGTGGGAGGGAGCAGGAATTTGTGAAGCAGAGGCCCTGGGCAGCTCCCTGGGCTACTCCCCTGAGCCCTGTGTCCCCTCTGCAGGGTTCTGGCGCCGGTGACGAGCGATGGGGTATGATGTAGCTCGTTTCCAGGGGGACGTTGATGAGGACCTTATATGCCCCATCTGCAGCGGGGTCCTGGAGGAGCCGGTTCAGGTAGGATCCTGGTCCTTCCTGCCCCATCAGCCCTTGCAGGAGGCAGCAAGACCCGGGATGGAGCACAGCAGGAACGCTGCTCCAAGGGATCTGTGCCATCCCAGGGATCCACGGGCTGAGGCCTGTGGTGTGAGGATCAACAAGGCCAAGTGCCAGGTCCTACCCTGGGGGTGCTGGTGGCAAAAGGGGCTGGAGAACTGAGGGAGCTGGGGGAGCTCAGCCTGGAGAGGAGGAGGCTCAGGGGGCACCTTCTCACTCTCCACGACTCCTTGACAGGATGGGGGAGCTGGGGGAGTGGTGGAGTCCCCACCCCTGGAGGTGCCCAAGGCAGGCCTGGCCGTGGCACTCAGTGCTCTGGGCTGGGGGACAAGGTGGGCGTCGGGCACAGCTTGGGCTCGGTCCCGGAGATGTTTTCCAGCCTTGGGGACCCCGTGGGTGACCCGTGGCCGTGTCCTGCCCCCTCCCCGCAGGCTCCCCACTGCGAGCACGCCTTCTGCAATGCCTGCATCACGCAGTGGTTCTCGCAGCAGCAGACGTGCCCCGTGGACCGCAGCGTGGTGACGGTCGCCCACCTGCGCCCGGTGCCGCGGATCATGCGGAACATGCTGTCCAAGCTGCAGATCACCTGTGACAACGCTGTCTTCGGCTGCACGGCCGTCGTGCGCCTCGACAACCTCATGTCTCACCTCAACGACTGCGAGCACAACCCCAAGCGCCCGGTGACATGCGAGCAGGGATGCGGGTGAGGAGGGGGACGTGGAGGGGGCCACTAGAGAGATGGGCAATCACCAATCATATGAAGTTCAAGGGCTGGATTCTGCACTGGGACCGGGGCAGCCCTGGATCTGTGGACAGGGACCGGAAAGGGACCTGGATTGGAGATAATGAGATCTCCTTGGATGAAGCCAGAACCTGGATCAGGCCCATGCACTGTCTAGTTCTGCTCCCTGATCCCTTTGGAGGAGGGAAGTCCCCATGCCATGGCATTGTGGCGGTGGTTGTTTCATTCCCATAACTTTCCCCAGACCGTTTGGCACAGCAGGGCCTTCCCACACCCACGGCAGTGCCGGAGCTGGTGCTCCACGCCTGGATTAGTTCTGGAAGCCGTTCACACGCCCATGCTGAGTGCTCTGCGTGTAGCTGCCCCTAACGTGGGGCCTCCACGTTTTCTCCTTGGCAGCTTGGAAATGCCCAAAGACGAGCTGCCAAACCACAACTGCATCAAGCACCTGCGGTCGGTGGTGCAGCAGCAGCAGACACGGATCGCCGAGCTGGAGAAGACCTCGGCGGAGCACAAGCACCAGCTGGCTGAGCAGGTGGGTCCAGCTGTGCCAGCTTTGTGCCAGGGTTCTCCTGGTCCCACGGGGTGCTTGGACACCAAAATACAGAGGGGCTGGAGAGTGGCCTGAGCTAAGTGTGGCTGGGGCTCTGTGGGTGCTGGGGTGGCACTGAGGGCTCTGTGGGGCTGATCGGTGCCACGCGGCCCTGCCGGTGACTGTTCCCAAATCCCACTTTTCCCTGCCGTGGCAGAAGCGGGATATCCAGCTGCTCAAGGCCTACATGCGGGCGATCCGCAGCGTCAACCCCAACCTGCAGAACCTGGAGGAGACCATCGAGTACAATGAGATCCTGGAGTGAGTCCCAGGGCTGGGCGGGGGAAGCTCCACGTGGGGCAGAGGGGACTGGGAATCTACCAGCATGGCTGAGGGACTGGGGAGGGGGTGAAGTGCCTTCTGATGAAAAGGAAACGGTTTGCAAGAGCGAAGAGGGGAGTTTGTGCTGGGGGAGGCACGTGAGCTGCTCACACAATGGGTTCAGAGTGTTATTGTTCCACCTGCATCCTGCCCACGAACAGGAAGCTGCCAGATTCCTTCCTCCTTGGGAAAAAGGCTGGAGGAAGCAGCTCCTTGCTCGTCCTCTCTCCCCTCCCTGGAGGGCGGGATCGTGGAGCTGACTGAAGCAACCTGGGATGAAAACAGGAGGGGAAGGTGGGGAGGTTCAGTGTTCCCCATCCAGTCTCACTCCCGAACACGGAACAGCCCTGAGACAGAGCCAGTCCCCAGCTTTGGGGGAAAATTGTAGCCAGGTGGGGATCGGCCTCTTCTCCCAGGTAACAAATGACAGGACAAGAGGAAATGGCCTCAAGCTGCCCCAAGGCAGGTTCAGGTTGGAAATCAGGAAGAATTTCTCCATGGAAAGGGTGGTCAGGCACTGGAAGGGGCTGCCCAGGGAGGTGGTGGAGACCCCACCCCTGGAGGTGACCTGGGAATGACTGGACATGGCACTCAGTGCTCTGGGCTGGGTCATAAGGTGGGAATTGGGCACAGCTCGGACTTGATGATTCTGGAGGCCTTTTCCAACCTCAAGGATTCTGGGATTCTACCCCGAAAACACCCCCTTCCCCCACTCTGTGTCCCCAGGTGGGTGAACTCCCTGCAGCCGGCACGGGTGACGCGGTGGGGCGGGATGATCTCCACGCCGGACGCGGTGCTCCAGGCCGTCATCAAGCGCTCGCTGGTGGAGAGCGGCTGCCCCGCGTCCATCATCAACGAGCTCATCGAGAACGCCCACGAGCGGAACTGGCCGCAGGGCCTGGCCACGCTGGAGACGCGCCAGATGAACCGGCGCTACTACGAGAACTATGTGGCCAAGCGCATCCCCGGGAAGCAGGCGGTGGTGGTGATGGCCTGCGAGAACCAGCACATGGGCGAGGACATGGTGCTCGAGCCGGGACTCGTCATGATCTTTGCACACGGAGTGGAGGAGATCTGAGGGATTCTGGGGACGAACCCTTCGAGGGAGAGGAGGGGGAAGGTGCAGAGAGGGGGAGGCCCAGGGAGGCCACTCAGAACTGCTGGCATTCCCTGGTCACCGACACGGACTTTAGGGAACTGTCCCCTCTGTGTTCCTCAGTGACACGATTGAACCCCTCTGGTAAACCCTGCGCAGAGCTCAGCCGGCACTGCAGCCCCTCCACGTCCCCCCTTTGCTTCCCCGTTCCGTGTCTTTCTTGGACAGAAGGAGTGACAGCTCCACACGCACTGCCAGACCCCTCGGTGGGTTCCCCAAATCCCGGCTCGTGATCCAGCCCAGACCCCCAGGACCAGCCCTGCTGCCTGGCAGCTCTCACTCATTCCATAGCCAATTTCCTCCCGGGATTTCTCACTCCCTCTGGGTTTTCCACCTCACTCTCTGGTGTCTCTCCAAGCTTTTATCCGACCCCGCAGCAGCAGGAGCTGCTCCCCTCCTGCAGGGGCGGGGAAGGGGCTTGTCTTGGTGTCCCCAAATTGGGCACTGCCAGTGTCACTGACCCCGGAGCCAAACAGCCACAGCCGAGCCCCTGGAGTGGGGGGTCCTTGGCCTTGGGGACCCCTCTTCCCCACCTTGCTCTGTGCATGCCCCAGCCCCTCTCCTCAGGAGCAGCCATCTCCCCTCGGGCATCTCCCACCTCCCCCTGGTCCTGCCCCGTGTTTGGCTCCGCTTTCTCCACTGTTGGTGTTACTTTTCCTGACACTTGTGATTGTGGTTCTGTATTTTTTGTACTTTTTTTTTGGCCTTTTTTTCATTTTTATTCCCCCCTTTTATTTGATTTTTGAAGTACCATGGGCAGGCGCCTCTGGCCTGGTTCTGTGGGACTTGGTGGGAATTTAATTTATTTGCATTTGTTTTGTTTTTTACCATCGTTTCTCCTCCGGTGTCGGTCCCAGCGGATCGGGCAGGAGGCAGGGATTGAAATGATCAATAAACAGCGTTCTGGTTGCTTTATTGTTGCTTTGGGGGCCTTCACCTGCACCCTGAAACCCCCCACCACGGAGGGCTCAGCCCCAGTGGAAAACTGGGTGGGTTTGGGGGTGTCCTCCCCATCCTGGGGGGATCCCTGAGATCAATAAATGTCACTGATGGGCTTCCACCACCCCGGGAGGGAACGGGCCCCCCGGGGATGTGGCTGAGTGTTGGGGGGGGCTCCAGCCACGGGGGTCACCCTTTTGTGCTCCCTTAAAAGGATAAACCTGTCCCGTGGCTCTCACCGGTAAAAAAGACCCGGTACCGGGGCTGGGGGGCTCCTCCTCCCTCCCACCGTTCAAAGAGCCGCGACTGGAGGGGGCGTTCCCATTGTTTCCACCGGTAAAGCAGCCGGTACCGGGGCTCCCCCCTGTGTCGCCGGTAAGAACAGGAACCGAGCGCTGGGGGAGTCCCCGCTGCTGCCGCCGTTAAAAGAGCCGCCACCAGAACGGGGGTGTTTTTCGCGCCGCTGCCGCCGGTGAAGGGGCCGGGACCGAGGGGGCCCCGCGCCATAAAAAAAAGAGCATCGGCGTCACGGACAGGATTCGAACCTGTGCGGGGAAACCCCATTGGATTTCGAGTCCAACGCCTTAACCACTCGGCCACCGTGACTCTCGCGCCTCCGTGCGCCGCGCTCCGCATAGACCGGCCCGGCCCCGCCCCGGCCACCGCGACCCGCCGCGGGGCTGCGGGACCGGACGGGGATCCCACCGGGATCCACCCGGGAGCTCAGCCGGGATCCACCCGGGAGCTCACCGGCGCTCCCCGCCCCGCCTCGGAGCCACAACCGCTCCAGCCTCCCGCACGACACACATGGAACTATAGAATGGTTTGGGTGGGAAACTCGGCTCATTCCACCCCCTGCCATGGGCAGGGACACCTTCCGCTAGACCAGGCCGCTCCAGCCTGGATTTGGACGCTTCCAGGGACGGCGCAGCCACAGGTGCTCTGGCAAATCCATTCCAGCGCCCCACCACCCTCACAGGGAAGGATTTTTTTGCTCCTGTCTAATCTAAACCTCCTGTCTCAGTTCGAACCCGTTCCCCTTGTCCCGTCACTCCGAGCTCTTGTAAAAAGTCTCACCCCGTCTTTGCTGAAAGTTCCCTTCGGGTCCTGGGAGGCCACAGCGAGGTCACCCCGGAGCCCTCCCTTCCCCAGGCCGAACGATCCCGATCCCCCGGCCTTTCCTCGCGGCGGAGCCGCTCCATCCTTCCCTCGGATCGCCTCGGGGCCTCCTCCGGGCTCGCTCCGACAAGTCCAGCACATCCCCTGGGGCCGGTAACGGAGACCGGGGCCGGCGGGACCGGCGGGACCGGGGTGGGACCGGCAGTACCGGAACAGGGCTGGCAGTACCGGAGGGGGGGCAGCGGTACCGGAACGGGACCGGCGGGACCGGAGCGGGGCCTGAGGGGGAGCAGCGGTACCGGAACAGGGCAGCGGTACCGGAACGGGACCGGCAGTACCGGAACGGGACCGGCAGTACCGGAGCGGGGCCGGCAGTACCGGAGGGGGACCGGCAGTACCGGAGCGGGGCCGGCGGTACCGGGGGGGGAACAGCGGTACCGGAGGGGGACCGGCGGTACCGGAGGGGGACCGGCAGTACCGGAGGGGGACCGGCGGTACCGGAGCGGGACCGGCAGTACCGGAGGGGGACCGGCGGTACCGGAGCGGGACCGGCAGGGGGAGCGGCGGCAGCGGCGGTACCGGCGCGGGGCCCGCAGGGGGAGCCCGCGGGCGGGCGGAGGCGGCGCGGCCCGGCCCGCTCAAGATGGCGGTGCGGAAGAAGGACGGCGGCCCCAACGTCAAGTACTACGAGGCCTCGGACACCGTCAGCCAGTTCGACAACGTGCGGCTCTGGCTCGGCAAGAACTACAAGAAGGTAGGTGGGCGAGGGTGTGAGGGGGCAGCACCGCCGCCCCGCGCCGGGCCCGGCCTGTCACGGCGGCGCCGCCGCCATCGCCCCCCCCACACCCGCCGCCGCCCCCGGGCCCCGCGGCCGCGCTGACCCCCCGGTCCCGCAGTACATCCAGGCAGAGCCCCCCACCAACAAGTCGCTGTCGAGCCTGGTGGTGCAGCTGCTGCAGTTCCAGGAGGAGGTGTTCGGGAAGCACGTCAGTAACGCGCCCCTCACCAAGCTGCCGGTGAGAGCCGCCGACACCGGGCACGGGGGGGACACGGGGGGCGAGGGGGGAACACCCGGGGGTCTGGGGACAAGACCCCGAGCGGGGACGATGCCCCAAAACGGTGCAGGAATGGACCCCGATGGGCCTGGGACGGGGTCCTGGAGATCCGAGTGAAAGCTCCAATGAACGGGGGACAAGGACCTTGACTGGGGACAGCACCCAAAGATGTGAGGACAGCACCCTGATAGCCGGAGCCAGCCCTCAGTACCCAGGGCACAGCATCCCGGTCCCCAGGGACAGCCCTAGTGATCTGGGGACAAGGCCCTGATGAGCAGGGACAAGGTCCTGAGCAGGGACAGTGCCCAAAAGACGTGGGGAGAGCAGCGTAATGACCTGGGTCAAAGACCTGGGGACAGCGCCCAGGACGGAGCCCCAGTGAGCTGGGGACAAGGACCTGAGTGGGGACAGCACCCAAAGCCCCAGTGACCTCATTCAGTATTGCAGTGACCTGGGGACAGCACCTGACCACGGACAGCAGCCCTGGGACAGTGCCCTGGTCAGGGACGTGTCCCATTGTCCTGGGGACAGTGCCTGGGGACCCTGGGCACCATTCTGCTGGCAGCTGCCCCCAAGCAGCATCTGTGCCCCAAGGACCAGGGAACACTGCCCCTGGGACCACAGGACAGCACCCCATGGCCCTGGGGATGGTGTCCCCACACAGGGACAGGTCCCTAGCTGGGGACAGTGCCCCAGCCCTGCAGCGACTGCATCCCAGCCCAGGGCACCTGGATGAGGATGGCACCCAGACTTGGGGATGGGACCTCAGCGAGGGAATGGCACCCCCCAACAAGGGGGTGACGCCCTGCCTAGCTCCCCCATCACCCCCCTGACCCACCTCCTCCCCTTCCAGATCAAATGCTTCCTGGATTTCAAGGCGGGGGGAGCCCTGTGCCACATCCTGGCAGCGGCCTATAAATTCAAGAGCGACCAAGGATGGTGAGCACCCACCTGCACCGTGGGGACGGCGGGTCTTGGGTGGTTTGGGGGGGCCATGAGGGGATCCCAGGGGCAAGGGTGGGGGTCCCCTCCATGGGAACACCCTGGGGTGGCCTCGGGCAGGGGTGCATAGGGTGGGCTGGTTGTAGGGCTCCCACCTCCAGAGCAAACAGACCCCTGAAGGGGTTCAGGCGCGTGTCCCACCCCCACCCCCCAAATTTTGGATGCTGACAAGGAGACCTGAGCTGTGGCTTTCATGAGAGTCGCTCTTTTCTTCCAATAAGGCGGCGTTTCGATTTCCAGAATCCCTCGCGGATGGACCGCAACGTGGAGATGTTCATGACCATCGAGAAATCCCTGGTGCAGGTAAGAAGTCCCATCCCTGACCCCCCCGGGGCCCCCTTGTCCTCCTCCAACCTCACCACTCTGCTCTTCCCTCCCACAGAACAACTGCCTGGCCCGGCCCAACATCTTCCTGCACCAGGAGATCGAGCCCAAACTGCTGGGCAAGCTGAAGGACATCGTCAAGAGGCACCAGGTGGGTGGCAGCGCTGGGGTGGGGGGCATGAGGGGGGGTTCATCCAACACCTCATCCTGGTATTTAGCCCTGGATCCAACCCCTGGCTCTCGCAGGGCACCGTGACCGAGGACAAGAGCAACGCGTCCCACATTGTGTGCCCCGTCCCGGGGAACCTGGAGGAAGGTGGGTGTGAGGGAGGGGTTGGGGGGGTCAGAGCTGTGCCTGGGATCACGGGGGGCTCTGGGGGGGCTGGAGGATCAGTGCCAGCCTCCCCGTGTCTCCCACAGAGGAGTGGGTCCGGCCGGTCATGAAGCGTGACAAGCAGGTGCTGCTGCACTGGGGCTACTACCCCGACAGGTGAGAGGGCCCAGGTGGGAGGGCTGAAACTTTGGGGAGCCCCCTGACCCCCCCAGAATTGCTGTGGGTGCCACTCTGACCCCCATCCTTCACCTGCAGCTACGACACCTGGATCCCCGCCAGCGAGATCGAGGCGTCCGTGGAGGATGCCCCGACGCCGGAGAAGCCTCGGAAGGTAACGGGGGTCCCCCAGGTTGGGGGAGCAGCTGCAGCCCCCTTCCCAGCCCACCTGACACACCCCCACACCTGCCCAACAGGTCCATGCCAAGTGGATCCTGGACACGGACACCTTCAACGAGTGGATGAACGAGGAGGATTACGAGGTGACGGACGAGAAGAGCCCCATCACCCGCAGGAAGAAGATCTCGGCCAAGACGCTGACGGATGAGGTCAGAGTGGGTGCAGAGCCCCCCGTAGAGGGGGTGCTGGGGGTCGTGTCCACCCAGCTGAACACAGTGACACCCCCCCACGTGCCCCCCAGGTGAACAGCCCCGACTCAGACCGGCGGGACAAGAAGGGGGGTAACTACAAGAAGCGGAAGCGCTCACCTTCCCCGTCACCCACCCCCGAGGCCAAGAAGAAGAACGCAAAGAAGGGGTGAGCTGGGGGGTCCAGGGAGGGGTCTGGGCCCCACAGAGGCTGAGGGAGGCTGGCCCTGGGGTGGTGGTGACTGGGCATGGGGGGTCTCTACCTTCCCAGACCTTCCACCCCCTACAACAAATCCAAGCGCGGGCACCGCGAGGAGGAGCAGGAGGACCTGACAAAGGACATGGACGAGCCCTCACCCGTCCCCAACGTGGAGGAGGTCACCCTGCCCAAAACAGGTCAGGGTGAGGATCAGAAGCCCCCCCCAGTGAGGTTACCCCTGGGACTGGGGTGGGGCAGGAGGTGTACTGGGGTGCTTAGTGCCGATTCCCTGCACCACAGTCAACACCAAGAAGGACTCGGAATCAGCGCCCGTGAAGGGGGGCACCATGACAGACCTGGGTGAGTGAGGCACTGTGGCAGAGCCCGGGACCCCCGGCCTGGCAGTGCCCAAAACCACCCCTCTCCTCCCTCCCTTCAGATGAGCAGGAAGATGAGAGCATGGAGACGGCTGGCAAGGTGAGCCCAGGGAAGGTGTTCCCAGCATGGGAGTCACCTCTTTGTCCCTCTTTCTTTACCCCTCTTCTGGGTGCAAAAAGGCCCTTTTCTGCCCACCCTCTCACCCCTGGGGCTGCAGGCACCTTTGCCCCAGGCCATTGACCTCATCCTGCTCCCGGTGAGGATGATGAAGGGCGCAGAATGGGGGGCCCAGGACCCCCTTGCCCATGCTGTGCTGGTCTGTGGGCAGGACGAGGAGGAGAACGGCACTGGGAGCAAGGGGGAGCAGGCCAAGAACCCTGACCTGCACGAGGACAACGTGACGGAGCAGACCCACCACATCATCATCCCCAGCTACGCGGCCTGGTTCGACTACAACAGGTACAGGGCTGGCTGAGGATGAGGATGGGGATGAGAAGGGTGTCCCGGTCACCTACCGGGCCCTCCCTGAGCGTCCCCTCTTGCAGTGTCCACGCCATCGAGCGCCGTGCCCTGCCCGAGTTCTTCAATGGCAAGAATAAATCCAAGACCCCCGAAATGTGAGACCTGACCTGCCCTTGCCACCCCCCTGTCACCCCTGGGGCCGTGCCCAGCGCTCACCCCTCTGCCCCCCGCAGATACCTGGCCTACCGCAACTTCATGATCGACACGTACCGGCTGAACCCGCAGGAGTACCTCACCTCCACCGCCTGCCGCCGCAACCTGGCCGGCGACGTCTGTGCCATCATGCGGTGGGTGCCGTGCCAGGGGCGTGGGGGGGGGGGTTTGGCACCCCAGTGCTGGCAGGAGGCCAGGGCCAGTGGGGCTGGGATGGGCGTGGCACTGCGGTGCTGACCGGGGCCTGATACTGGTGCGTCTGGTGGTCACTGTGGCACCTCAGCATCGATGGGGGCTCAGTGGGGTACCCTGATGCTGGCGGGGGTCTGGTGCCACTGGGGCACCCTGGTGGGGGCCTGGTGCTGGTGGAGCACCAGGCACTGACAGGTTTTGCACCTCAGTGCTGATGGGTTCAGTGCCAGTGGGGCAGGGGTGGTCAGTGTGGGACCCCACAGACACCAGTGGGGCTCTGGCAGGGTCTGATGCCAGCTCTCCGCAGGGTCCACGCCTTCCTGGAGCAGTGGGGCCTCATCAACTACCAGGTGGATGCCGAGAGCCGGCCCACCCCCATGGGCCCCCCACCCACCTCGCACTTCCACGTGCTGGCCGACACTCCCTCGGGGCTGGTGCCACTGCAGCCCAAGACGCCCCAGGTGGGTGCAGGGGGCGTCCGCCCTGCGCAGCCGCGACCCCCCCCGCCATCCCCCGGTCCCCGCAGGGGCCGAGCGCGGGGTGGGGCGGGGGGTGGGGGATGCACAGCTTCGATCCGTGCCTGCCTCAGGGCCGGCAGAGCGACGGCGACGCCAAGACCGGCCGCAAGAGCAAAGAGATCGAAGAGCTCGTCAGCGAGACGGTGAAGGGGAAGCCGGAGCTGGTAGGCGGCTCCTTGGGGTCCGTGCCCCCGCCGCTGGCCGAGGAAGGCTCCTTCCCTCCTCCCCCTCGCGCCCCGCATGCCGCCCTGCCCTGGGGAGCAGGGACGCGGGGGGGACACCGTGACGAGACGGGGCACGAAGACTTCTCTGGGATGGAGGGGCGGGGGGGACTGGTATCCTGATGTCCTGTCCCCCCACGGCCGCATCCCAGCATCCTCTCTCCCCTCAGCAGCCGACCTCGGCCTCGCAGCAGATGCTGAACTTCCCGGACAAGGGCAAGGAGAAGCCAGCCGACATGCAGAACTTCGGCCTCCGCACCGACATGTACACCAAGAAGAACGTCCCCTCCAAGGTGGGCAGCCCTCGGCCTGGCCCCGGCCCCCCGCCCGCCACCCCTCACCCCTCTCTCTCCACCCGCAGAGCAAGGCTGCCGCCAGCGCCACGCGGGAGTGGACGGAGCAGGAAACGCTGCTGCTGCTGGAGGTGAGTGAGGGTCCGTGGGGAGAGGGGAATGGGGCTGCCAGACCCCGCTGATGCCCCCCCGCTCCATCCCGCAGGCCCTGGAGATGTACAAGGACGACTGGAACAAGGTGTCAGAGCACGTGGGCAGCCGGACTCAGGATGAGTGCATCCTGCACTTCCTGCGGCTGCCCATCGAGGATCCCTACCTGGAGGACTCAGAGGCATCGCTGGGACCACTGGCCTACCAGCCCATCCCCTTCAGCCAGTCGGGCAACCCTGTCATGAGCACCGTTGCATTCCTGGCCTCCGTCGTCGACCCCCGCGTCGCCTCCGCTGCCGCCAAATCGGCTCTGGGTATCAGCTTGGGCAGGGGTCCAGCCTGGGGGCTGCAGGAGTCCTGGGAGAAGAGGGGACAGGGACCACGGGGACAGGGAGGAGTCCTGTAGGAGAACGGAATGAGTCCTATAGTGAGACAGGATAAGTCTTACGGGAAGAGGGATGGGGAGTCCTGTAGGGAGCCCTATAGCAGATAAGATCAGTCCTATGAGGAGTCCTATAGCAAGTTCTGTAGGAAGACAGGACAAATCTGATGGGGAGAGGGATGAATCCTGTGGGGAGCTGGGGCAAGGCCTGCTGAGCTGGGACGAGCCCCCCCAAGGGATGTGCAGTGCTGGGGGGACTCCAAGGGGCGCTGGGGTCCCACTGAGGCCTCCCTGGCACTTCCCCCAGAGGAATTCTCCAAGATGAAGGAGGAGGTGCCCACAGCGCTGGTGGAGGCCCACGTGCGCAAGGTGGAGGAGGCGGCCAAGGTGACGGGCAAGGCTGACCCCGCGTTTGGGCTGGAGAGCAGCGGCATCGCCGGCACCACCTCGGACGAGCCGGAGCGGATCGGTGAGGGGCCAGGGGGATGTCAGGGGTCTGGGAGGGCAGTGGCAGGGCCTGAGCACGGGTTTGTGTCCCCAGAGGAGAGTGGGGCGGAGGAGGCGCGGGCCGATGCGCAGCCGGCTGAGGAGAAGAAGGAGGTGAAGGTAGGAGGGGGCCGGAGAGGGGTTTGGGGGCCAGGGAGGGCGGCTCAGGCAGGACTTGAGTGGCCGTGGGGCCGATCCCTCCCCAGGAGCCCCGGGACAGCAGCACCGAGGAGGAGGCAAAGGAGAAGCCCGGGGATACACCCAAGAAAGAGGAGGAGAAGGGGAAGGAGGTGGAGGGTGAGAAGGAGCCCGACAAGGGTGACAGCGATGGTGCAGGTGAGTGGGGCACCTGGCAGGGCTGGGGGATGCTGAGCCCCCCATGACACTGCTGACACGGCCCCCACTGCGCCACAGGAGAGCCAGAGAAAGAGAAGGAGGTGAAGGAGGGGCCAGATGAGGCACCTAAGGAGCCTCCAGAGCCTGAGGCTGAGCGCAAGGCCAAGGTGGAGCGGGACATCGGCGAGGGGAACCTCTCCACTGCCGCCGCTGCCGCGCTGGCTGCTGCTGCCGTCAAGGCCAAGGTGAGGGCTGGGGGGCTGGGCTGGGGGGGAGCACAACCCAGATGTGGGCTCTGACCCCCCCGGGTGGCCTCCCCCAGCACTTGGCAGCTGTGGAGGAGCGGAAGATCAAGTCCCTCGTGGCGCTGCTGGTGGAGACGCAGATGAAGAAGCTGGAGATCAAACTGCGGCACTTCGAGGAGCTGGAGACCATCATGGACCGGGAGCGCGAGGCCGTGAGTGCCGGTGCCATCGCCAGGAGGGTGGCAGGTGCTTGTCTGCTTGTCCCCCCTGCCCAGCTGACCCTGCCGTGTCCCCCCCAGCTGGAATACCAGCGGCAGCAGCTGCTGGCGGACCGCCAGGCCTTCCACATGGAGCAGCTGAAGTACGCGGAGATGCGCGCCCGGCAGCAGCACTTCCAGCACCTGCAGCAGCAGCAGCAGCAGCAGCCGCCCCCGCTGCCCCCGGGGGCTCAGCCCCTGCCCGCCGCCGGAGCCCCCCTGGCCCCCGCCGCCCACCCGCTGGCCGCGCCGCCCACCCCGGCCATGGTGGGCCCCGCTGAGCCCGTGGGGCAGCCGCTGCCCGGGCCCCCCGCCGCAGCCGCCCCGCCACCGGGAGCCCCGAACGTCCCGCACGGTGAGGGCTGGGGAGGGGTTGGGCGAGGGGGTCCCGGGGTGCTGAGGGCTGGGGAGGGAGGGACGGGTGGGTGTCTCAGCGTTGGGGTCTCCTCACCACCCCTCTTCCCCGCAGCCCCGGCGCCGTTCCCTGGGCAGCAGCCGCCGTCCCAGAGCCTGGCGGGGACCCTCGGTGGCAGCGGCCACCCCGCTGTGCCCGGTAATGCTCCCGCGGCCCTGCCCTTCGGATTGCCTCCATCCGCCATCCCATTGAGCATGGCTAACCCCCGCCGACCCCTGGGCGCCTCCTTCCCCGCTAACCCGCCCCCATCCCGCTGCATGGGGCCCTGGCCAGCAGCATGCCGGGGGGCGGGGGGCTGCCCCCCAACTCCCACCCACCCGGCCTGGCCCTGCCGCACCTCGCGGGGGGCTCGGCCGCCGCGCACAGCCCCGCCATCGTGGCCGCCGTGCAGGGAAGCCTCCTTCCCAACCCCGGCCTCCTCGCAGGTGAGACATGGGGGGGAGCACGGGAGGGACACTGGGAGCGGGCGGATCACTCGCGGGCACGGGGCCGGGCGGGGGCCTCAACCCTTCCCCCCGGAGCTGTGGGGCAAGAGGTGCTCGTGCACCACCTTGCCCCCCAGATGTGACCCCCGCCCTGTCCTTTGTGTTCTCTCTACAGACCAAGGCCCCCCTGCAGACGGACCCCATCGCGCCCACCCCCAGCACGGCCACCCCTGTGCCCCCCACGCAGTGAGCCCCGGCCGGGGCCCAGGACGCCGCAGCCCTCCCAGACCGGCCCCTCCCGCCCCTGCAAGGCACCCCAAAGGACCCCCTGCCCACCTCAACCGACCTCCCTCGCCCCCAGCTTTGGTATTTTTTTATGATTGTCCCAGATTTTATTTAAGTGTTGGTCTCCCGGGGGGGGCTGGGATCCTGCTCCCCCCCCGGCTATTTATGAGACAGCTCCGATCCCACCTGGCACATGGGCATTTCCCCCCCTCTCAAAACCAACCCCCAACACCCACCCAGCTACTTTTCCTCCTCCCCTTTTTGTTTTTTTCTTTTTTGTTTTTTTTTTCTTTTTTTAAAAAACCAATAAAAATAAAATTCCAAGTCCCTGGGGCGGGAAGAAACAGCCTCGTGGTGCTGGATCTGTCTAGGGGGGCACACACGAGGAGGGGAGGGGGTCACATTCAACGTTCTGAGACTTTTATTTGATGCTGTGGGGCAATAATTTAGCCGAGGGGGCCGAGGGAGGGCTGGGGGCATTAGGGCAGGGGTTGGGACACAGGGGCAGTGGGGATGTGGTGGCGGTGGCAGGAAAATGAGGAAAAAGGCACAAAACTGAGTGGAGGGGAGGGGACACAGGAGGACGGGGGAGTCTTCAGCCACTCAGCACCATCCGGACCAGCTCTGTGGAGAGAAGAAATGAGGGTGAGGAGGGGTCTGCCGGTCCCCCATTTCCCTAATCCCAGAGAGAGGCAGGAAAACCAAAGTCAAACAGCTGAAGAGCGCAGGGAGAACCCGGCGTCGCTACGGGGGGGAGGGGGAGGGGGCTCCTGCAGCCCCCCAGAGCAGCACCCACGTCCCGGCCCCGGCGCGCAGGGGGGGCTCCATGCAGAAGGACATGCGGGGGGAGGGGGGCAGAGGGGGGGCTGCACCAAGGGCGAGAGCGCAAACCAGGCGGCCTTTTTTTTCTTCATAAAAAAAAAAAAAAGACACCAGGGCGGGAAAAAAAAAGGAAGGAAAAAAAAACTGGAAGTAACTGAAGGAAGGGGCGGGGGGGAGGCGTTACCCCTGCGGCGTCACCCTGACAAGATGTGTCTCACAAACGCTGGGAGGAAGGAAGGAGACATGATGGTCAGGGAGGGAGTGTGGCCACGGACGAACACCCCCGGGACCCCCAGCACCCCTGGGACCCCCCTCCCACCCCCAGCCCTCACCTTCGTAGTTGATGCAGCCGTTGCTGTCCTCGTGCCCGGCCACGAGCTGCTCCACCTCCTCCTCCGTCATCTTCTCACCTGTAGGACATTCGTGACACCCTGGGGTGAGGGGGACCCACACTGGGGGTCCCCAGGCCTTGCAGGGGGTCTCGGGGGTTGGCTGGGGGCTTGTGATGATCCCAGGGCTGGTGGGAGCTGACAGGATCCCTGCAGCTGGCTGGGCTTTGGGGGTCCTCAGGGATGGACGAGGGGTCCCTGAGGGGGTCCCCTGTATTAGTGCCACCAGGACCCCCATGTCAGCACCTCCAGGAGCACCAAGGCACCAGGATCCCCACATCAATGCCATTGGGACCCTCAGGGCACTGAGCCCCCTGTGTCAGCACCACTGGGACACTCAGGGCAAAAAAACCCTGAATCTGTACCTCCAGGATGCCCAATGCACCAGGAGCCCCCCATGTAGCAGCACCAGGACCACCCAGAGCACCAGGACGCCCCCGCCAGCCCTCCCATCGTGCTGGATCCCTGGAACCCAACACCTCGGGGACCCCACTCCCAAATCCCCCAGACCTCGCTGTCTGGCCCAGGTTGGGTTTTGTTTCCCAGTGGGATCTGTTTTCCCTGAGGACATGGGGGATTTGGGGGTCCAGCGGGGGGTTGAGGCTCACCCAGGGTGACGAGGACATGGCGGATCTCGGCACCCATGACGGTGCCGTTGCCCTCCTTGTCGAAGACCCTCAGCCCCTCCACGTAGTCCTCGAAGCACCCCTGGTCCTTGTTCTTGGCGATCGTTTGCATCATGGGCAGGAACTGCTCGAAGCTCAGCGTCTTCACGTTCATCTCTGTGGGACAGGGCACGTGTGTGAGGGCTGGGGGGTCCTGGGGGTCCTGGAGGGGGGGAATAGGGGAATTCCCCACTCACCATCGCTCTTGGGGTTGCCCAGCACCTTCATGACCTCGGCATTGGTGGGGTTCTGGCCCAGCGCCCGCATCACGTCCCCGCACTGGCTGTACAGGATCTTCCCATCGCCCGTGCGGTCAAACAGCTGGAACGCCTCCTTGAACTCTGCCAGGACCACCGTGTCAGCGGTGCCAGGACCCCCAGGGCACCAGGACACCCAATGTGTGTCGGTGCTGCCAGGACTCCCACACAGGCACTGCTGGGATCTCCAGCACACTGGGCCTCCCCCATGGCAGTGCCACCGGGACCCCCAGGGCACGGGACCCCCCAGTCAGAGCCTCCAGAATCTCTGCATCAGCACCACCGGAACCCCTGGGGCAAAAGGACCCCCGACTCTGCACCTCCAGGACCCCCAATGCACCAGGACCCCCTCGTGTCAGCAGCACCGAGACCCCCAGAGCACCTGGATCCCCCTGTCAGTGCCTCTGGGACCCCCAGCACACGGTCAGCCCTGCCATCCCGCTCTATCCCTGGAAATCAACACCTCAGGGACCCCATAACCTCTTCCCCGGGACCTCGCACCTCGGGGGCTCCACTCCCAGCACCCCCTCCGACTGCGGGTCGGGTTTCGTTCCCCGGTGGGATCCGGTTTCCCGGTGGGATCCGGTTTCCCGGTGGGATCCGACGCCGGCCGGGATGCAGTCGGGCCGCCGCCCTGGGGGATGCTGCCCGGGCTGAGCGGGGAGCCCCGGGCGGATCCCGGCGGATCCCGGAGAACCGGGAGCGCTCAGGAATCCGCGGCCCCGCCCCGCAGGAATGCGCGGCCGGCGCGCGCTGTGCCCATATAAGGGCAAATTGCGCAGGAGGGGCCCAAACATCCCCGGTGCCGGTGCCGGTCCCGTATCCCCGGCCCTGCAGCCACCGGCCCCGGTTCCGCATCCCCCCCGTTCCCCCCGGAACGAACGGCCCCGCCCGGGAGAGACTTTGCCCCGGGAAAAGGCCCCGCCCGCGGTCGCGCAGGAAGCGCTGGGGGCGGCGGGGCCGCCCCGGGGGGTTCCGTTCCCGGTGCCCCGAGCTGGAGCGGTGCCGGTCCCGCTCCCGGTGCCCGGTGCCGGTCACTCACCCGCGGTCTGCTCCTCCGAGAAGTCGCACTGCGGGGGAGAGCGCGGCCGTCAGCGGGCACCGGCATCCCCCGGGATTGGGGATTGGGCCACGGCCCGCGCCCGGTGCCCGCCGAGCCCAACCGGTGCCCCCCGCGCCCCCGCCGCATCCGCCACCCACCCTCCTCCCCGGTGCGACCCCCGCCCCGATCCCCCCCACAGCGCCCCTCGCCCGTGCATCCCCCCCGGCCCGCGCATCCCCCGCCGGAGCCACTCCCGGTGCGGGTCCCGGAGCCGCTCCCGGAGCCGGTCCCGGAGCCGCTCCCGGTGCCCACCATGGCGCCGGCCGCTCCCGTTCCCTCCTGCGCTCTCGGGCGTCACCGCGCGCGGCGTCACCGCCGGTAACGAGGGCGGGGATTATTCATGAGGGGGGCGGGGGAACGGGGAGGCCGCGCCCCCTCCTCATCCCCTTGGGGGGATGTTTTGGCTATAGATGGGCACGGAGCGAACACCCTCCCCACCCCACGGGGGGCACCTCCCCCGCGGGGGACACCCCATCCCACGGGGGACACCCTCTCCCCCACGGGGACATCACACGGGGGACTCCCCACCCACGGGGGACACCAACTCCCCTCACGGGCCCCCCAGTGAGGGCATCCCACGGCCACGGCCACGCCCCATGGAGGGCACCCGTGCCTGGACCCCACCGGGGACGCCTGTGGGACACCACCAACACCCGGGACCCCCCAGGAACACACGAAGCTGTGACCTCCCTCCTTTATTAGCGCAGGGGGGGACAGGGACGCGGCCCTGGGAAGGCAGCGAGGGGGTGGCACGGCGGTGGCAGCGCGGTGACATCCCAGTGGCACGGCGGTGGCGTCCCCATGGTGGCCCGGAGGTGGAACCCCGGCGACACCCTGGTGGTGGCATCAAGGCAGTGGCCTGGCAGTGGCATGCCGGGGGGATCCGGGCAGTGACATCCCGGTGACAGCCCGGCGGTGGCAGCAGCGGCTCTAAGAAGCGTCCCCTCGGAGTGGGGGGTACCCGGGGGACACAACCCCAGCCGGGCCCCCCCAACGCCGGGGGCCCCTCGGGGGGGCAAAGGCACGAGGTTCGTAACAGTCTGGGGGGCGCGGGGGGCCCGGCCCAGCACGTCTTTGGTCGGTGGCGAGGCGGGGGCTTGGCGGGGGTGGGGGCGGCAGCAGCCAGAGGGTCCCCAGGGGACGGGTTGGGGCCGATGGTCCGGTTCTAGGGGCCGCTCCGCTCATCCTGCAGCTCGTACCTGTGCGGGGGGAGAGGTGAGGGGGCATGGGGGGGACACAGCCCCCTCCCCACCCCAGAGACCCCCAGGGCCCTCCCCCTTCAGCACAGCCCCTCAGCCCCACTCACCAGTGGGATCCCCCCTCAGACAGGTCCAGCTGCGCCAGGTTCAGATGCAGCTGGGGGAGAGCAAAGGCTCAGGGGGCTCCCTGGCCCCCCGGACCTCCCAGACCTGTCTTGAATTCCCCCCCGGGTCCCCCTGGACCCCCCTACCTTCCCCAGTGCCTCCTTCTCCCGCGTCATGAAGGACAGGGTGGATTTGACCTGAGCTTCCAGCCTCCTCCGTGACACTTCCTCCAGGGACAGGTCCCACTCGAACCTGGGGACACTGGGCTGTACTGGGCTGTACTGGGTGGCACAGGGCCCCCCCCCCTCACCCCACTTACCTCTCGTTGAAGTCGGGGTTCAGGGTCTTCCTCTGCACGCTGGTTTTCCTCTTGGTGCCGCGGCTGCGGTCGGGGAGCAGCACCAGGGACACGTAGGGGTCCGGCAGCTCCTTCGCCGCCGCCCGCAGCTCCCTGGGGGGGTTACAAGGGCTCAGAGGGGGGACCCAGCCTGGGGGTCCCGGCCCCGAGCCCCCCTCCCCAGCCTCACCTGCAGGCGTGGACGATGGCCACCAGCTTCCTCTCGTCCCGGTGGTACCA